TGAGCCTAAGTTGTTTGTAGTAACCAAGAAGGATCTTGGAATGAGGCCAGGAGATATAATTTCTGTGACCAACTAGTTCATGCTCAAAAAGCTTGTTAGGATCCATCTAAGTACAGTATAATTCTGTCTTTGGAGTAAGAGAAATTAGAACTATGTCTCCTGTTATAGACTTTGAAATCAAGGACTTCAAGAACTCCAATTATATTCTTGTAGCAGTTACCAATAAAAATATATTCTTGCCAAATATAATTTTACAGATTTTAGCAAGGAATGCCTTCATATCTTAATAGGCTTAAAAAATTAAATTAGTTTGCATTTGCTGATTCTTTGACCTCTCCCTAATATTAGTTGTAGTGCTTTATTGTTCTGTGCTGTGAAGAATTGATAATATCTAGTCATCTTTTGACATTGGCAATAACCTCTGTTTTCTGGGTAAATTAGGAACTATATCACCTGAGGAAAATCTGATTTGAATGATTGTTCTTCCATCATCCCATTCATCCACACTGTTAAACCATTTGGGTTGATCACAGCTTTTACCACAAGATTCTTTATAATGTTGGAAATTACGACATGTTTGATGATGATGGACTCCTCTGGTCTTTCCTCAGGTCTTGACTGCCACTGCCACTGGTGTGCAGGATTGAGGTTGTTGATAGCAACAGTGGGCTCTGGGGAATGGTCACCAAGAGCTTAAGAGGAAGTTGTAGATAAGCCATGTTTCTATGGATAGCCCTCTAGGGAACCCAGTACTTGCCTAAAGTTAATTACCTTACACTGCAGCCTAATTGCTAAGGGTATAAATGTTTTCAATAAACATTTGTTGAACATTATCTCCTTCTTAGCTTTTATGCACTTATTAGAACACTAGCGGCCTGGTGCACAAAATTCGTGCACTGGGTGGGGGGTGTCCCTCAGCCCAGCCTGCACCCTCTCCAATCTGGTACATCCCTCTCACAATCCGGGACTGCTGGCTCCCAACTGCTCGCCTGACTGCCTGCCTGATCACCCCCTAACCACTCCCCTGCCAACCTAATCAATGCCTAACTACTCCCCTGCCGGCCGATTGCCCCCAACTGCCCTCCCCTGCTGGCCCAGTTGTCCCCAACTGCCCTCCCCTGCTGGCCTGGTTGCCCCCAACTGCCCTCTGCCTGCTGGCCCGGTCACTTCCAACTTCCCTCCCCTGCCAGCCCACTCGCCCCCAACTGCTGGCCTGGTCACCCCTGACTGCCCTTCCTTGCTGGCCATCTTGTGGTGTCCATCTTGTGACCACATGGGGGTGGCCATCTTGTGCAAGGGTGTGATGGTCAATTTGCAAAATATCTCTTTATTATATAGGATTGTGTGTAGAAACAGGAAATATCATTATCTTTTCCTCAAAATTTCTTCTACCTTCTTCTGCTTCCCCTCCTGTTCTTTTACTCAGTTTCTCAAACTTGAACTTGGAATTATTTGTACTCTTTCCAGTCCGTACTTTTCTATGTCTAATAAGATATCAAACACTGTTTGCTTTACTACCAAAAATGTTTTTCAAATTCATACTGTTTTTTGTCCCCAATGTTTTATTGTTTAAGGTCAGGCCCAGTTTATTTTTCTCCTGGACTGTTTCAATAATCCCTTTAAACTAAAATTTTCATTTCTAATCTCTGTCCTCCTCCTTTTTAGCTCTCAATCAGTTACCTTTACCTTTTTTTTTTTTTTTTAATTACTTTCCTGATTTAACAACCCATGACTTTTGTTTTTGTTTTTGTTGTTTTACAATTTGCTTTATTTTTACTCAACATATATTCTGGAAACTTTTCCATGTAGTTCATTCAGATCTACCTTCTTTTTAATGCTGCATTAAAATATGTGTGTTATAGTTCTGGCCAGGTGGCTCAGTTGGTTGGAGCATCATCCCTAAACCAGAAGGTTGTGAGTTTGATTCCTGGTCAGGGCATATACCTAGGTTGTGGGTTTGATCCCCCATTGGGGTGCATATGGGAGTCAACTGATCAATGTTTCTCTCACATTGATGAGAAACATTCTCTCTTTCTCTCTGTCTCTCCTGTCTCGTCCCCTTCCTCTCTTTTTAAACTCAATAAAAAATACAGCCTCAGGTGAGGATTAAAAAGAGTGTTATTATAGTTTATTTAGCCATTCCTTTATGAATGGACATTTTTGTTATTTATATTTTTCCCTTTGTTACAGGGAATACTGAAGTGAGTGTCCATAAATATGTGCAAGATGCCAAAAAGTGGGATTTCTGAGTCAAAATGGATGTAATGTTGATACTGGCAAATCACTTTACAAAAAATGCCTATCTATTTATACTCCCACTTTCCATGCCTTTTTTTTTTTTTTTTTTTTTAGGATCATTGGTAATCTGGACTTAGTGTACTTCTGCCTCATTGCTCTAATTGACATATTTAGTCATTTACTGTCAGCCACTGTCCTAGTTTCTATTCAATACAAATTGTGCGCTGGGCACTTTCTATATGTTGCGAATTTAGTACCTGATAAGACAGGTAGGATCCCTGCCCTCATCTAGCTTACCCTCCGAACACAAACTTTTTGCTCTTCCCAGATTCCTTTTATGCATGTGCAGCTACTTTTCTCTCTTCCTCATATGGCTTTTATTTTTTTTTAACTTTTTTTTTTTCCTGGATAATTTTCTTTGATCATTCTTTTACCTTTTTAACTTGGTTAGATTTTATCTTCTGTCATATCTTCCTCATCTCCTCTTAGGTATAGTTAGATAGGTCTTCCTCAGTGGTCTCTCTTAGCACCTCACTTGCATCCTTTTTATAGTGTTTATGCTGAAAAGTTTTTTTTATTTTTTTATTTTTTATTGACTTCAGAGAGGAAGGGAGAAGCAGAGGGGGGGAAGAGAGAGAGAGAGAGAGAGAGAGAGAGAGAGAGAGAGAGAGAGAGAGAGAGAGAGAGAGAGAGAGAATGAATGAATGAATGAATATGAATTAGTGATGACAGAGAATCACAGATTGGCTGCCACACTGGGGATTGAGCCCATGACCTGGGCATATGCCCTGACTGGGAATCAGTTGACCCTCAATCACTGAGCCACACCAGATGGGCTCTGCTGAAGAGTTTTAATTATTTGTTTATATATGTGTGCACTTGTGTATGCGTGTATGTGTATGCTGCATATTCACATACAAAGGTCTCTCCCGTTAGAGTATAAGCTCAGCAAGGGCAGGCACCTGTGATATTTACCTAAGCACTCCCCCAGCTTAATACCTTAAGCATTAGAGATGCTTAATAAATGCTGAGTAAGTGAATGAATAACAAACTATCAGATTAACTTATTTTGTATAAGGCACACAGGGGCTTATCTTCAAGGACTAACCATGTAGTCAGGGAGATAAGAAACAGATGAGTAGACTGCAATGTGATTTGTGATAAGCTCTGTGTAGTGCTGGAATGGGGAACCTTTATTCTGCCAAGGGGCATTTGGATATTTATAACATCACTAGAGGCCTGGTGCATGATCTTCATGCAGGAGGATGTCCCCTCAGCCCAGCCTGCACCCTCTTCAATCTGGGACCCCTTGGGGGACATCTCTCTCACAATCCTGGACCGCTGGCTCCTAGTTGCTCATCTGCCTGGTCACCCCTAACTGCCCTCTCTGCCAGCCTGGTCACCCCTAACTGCCCCCTTTCCCCTTACTGGCCTAGTCGCCCCTCTTCCCCTGCCAGCCTAATTGCCTCCAACTGTTCCCCCTGCTGGCCTGGTTGCCTCTTACTGCCCTCCCTGCCAGCCTGGTCACCTTCAACTGCCCCCTTCTGCCAGCCCACTGGCCCCTAACTGCCCCCCCCCCCCCCCCCCCCATCAGCCTGATCGCCCCCAACTGCTCCCCCTGCTGCCCTGGTCCCCCTTAACTGTCCTCCCTGCCCACCTGGTTGCCCCATGCAGCCTGCTGTTCAGTTTTTTGTTCGTCCCTCACTAACCCCCCTGCTGGCCTGGTTGTAGGCAGCCATCTTGTGAGGGTGTGAGGAACAATTTGCATATCACCTCTTTATTATATAGGATTTGCAGGCCACACAAAATTATCAACTTAAAAATTAGCCTGCTATATTTGGTCAAACATTTAATTAACTCACCCCTAATGCCTTGGCAGGACCAGACCAAATAATTGATGTTCCCCCCTCCTGGTACTTGAGTACTTGAGAATTTAAAGAGAGAGATATATTCTCATGAATAGGATATTCTGGTAAATTTTAAGATAGGAGGACTTTTTTCTTATTTGTGAGTGATGCCCATAGTGATAAGATATGTTCCTGGCTCCCAAAGTTTTTAGTCACATAGGGCCTTAGAGCAAAGATTGCAGTCTATTGTCTATGGGCCAAATCAAACCTGCTGTCCATTTTTGTACAGCCTATGAACAAAGATACTTTACATTTCAAAAATTGTTTTTATAAAGAGAATATTTGGTACTATGAGTAATGATATGAAATTCGGATTTTAGCATCTGTAATTAAATATTGTTGGAACACAGCCACGTTCTTTTGTGTACCCACTGTCTGACTGTATTTGTGCTACAACAGCAGAGCTGTGTAGCTATAACAGAACCTTTTTGGTCGGTGACGCCCACAGTACTTATTCTGGCCTTTTGCAGAAACAGTCTGCCAAATCCTGGACAGAAGGTGGGAGAGGAGAGAAAGACATCCAGATTGAGAGTGAATGTTTGAGTTAAGTGGGACAGTGAATACTGTAGCTTTACTTCCTACTGAAGCTTTAGAGCTGAAATGATGATCTAGCTTATCCTTTTATTTTACAGAATAGTTAGAAGATCAGAAATCTTGTCAAAGTCCACAGGACTCGTAGAGGGGCAGTGTTCACTGGAGTGAAAGAACTTTGGGTGATAAGATTATAACTGGGGTAGGGCCAGATTATGAATGTCCTTGCCCTTGAAAGATGAGAGTTGAAGAATAAACTAAGAACAGACTTTACCTTTCTCTCTCTGAATGTAATATTTCTTTTTTTCCCTCTTGTGTTTCTAGAAGGCCTTTGAGCCCTACTTCGAGATTTTGGAAGTATATTCCACAAAGGCCAAGAATTACATAAATAGTCATTGCACCAAATATGAGCCCTGGCAACTAATTGCATGGAGTGTCGTGTGGACCTTGCTGATAGTCTGGGTATATGAGTTTGTCTACCAACCGGAGAGTAAGTATACTGTCCTCTCTGTAAAGGAACAATGGAGGTTCACTAGCTTTGAAACTCATACTTATGATTAGACTGATTTCTTGCCTTTTGGTTTTGTTCTGATTTTTAACAAAATTTAATGGGAAGTGGGGCATTGTCTTCTGACTGGCAAAGTCTCATTATAATGGGAATCTTGTGTAACTGTTGCTACTTAATTTGATTTTTCTGAATTTGCAACTTACATAAAAACTCCTAAGAAATGAGTCAGTGTAAGGATCACAGATATCTGAGTACGGCTTAAATCTTCTTCAGTTTTAGTTTCTTCTCTAGAACGTAATTGTGCCACTTGGACTTCCTAAAGTCCAGGGGAGGGCCTGGGGAGATCTAAATAAGTGATAGAGGGCCCTGTTTCTTAGAGTTGACCTGATAACAGGAGGCAGTGCACTTTGAGCTTCCTGGATAGTGCCTCAGGGAGCTAATTGATATGGGGAAGAGGAAGCCACTTCTAAAGAGTTAGAGATGAGAAGTCTTCTAGCAGTCAGTTTGTAAATCCTCCCCACCCCTAAAAAGCCCCAACCTGATTACATATTTCCTCCTTGTTAATTATTTTCCCTGCGCATTGTGCTTGGAAAGTAAATGGTAGGAGTGGTGGTAGGTGTTCTGTAGCACTCTCTGCATCCCTGTCCTACCCTTATTAGGGTATCCCAGTTAACTTCCTTGGGATAAGAAACCATTAACATTGAAGGAATTTGCTTGTCATTTCTCATATGTCTAAAATTTCCACAACTATTTTCCCCCTGATCACATTTGTTTGAAGGGGTACTTTATTATTTTTTATTTACTTTTATTTTTATTTTTTGGCTTTCTAATTTTATTTTATTTTATTTTATTTTATTTTATTTTATTTTATTTAGCCCCTGATTCTATTATATTCACCAGTTTATTTTGGTCTTCAGATTTTTTTTTTTTCCAATGCAAAAACTAAACCACATACATGTTATTTTCAAAACTTGAATGTCAAAAGCAAAACTCTGGCTATTAAATAACAACAATGCCAATGCAAAACAACAAAATGAGAAATCAGAATTATGGACATATTAATATTTTTAGCTACTAAATGAGTCTCTTTTGTTGCTGGTGTAGATTTACGCAGAGTCCTTGGACTTGCTGCACAAGACTTTGCAGAAGACTGGAAGCAAGCAGATACTAGCTTGAGCAGTAACATGATTAAAGAAGTAGCTTCCATTTCAGTCTTTAATTTCTTCAGATGAGTCCATGTTGGCACCTCAGTCCCTTGCGTAGCCTTCAGTTTTCTTCTCCCACTTTGCTGTCGTCTGGGCAACTCTCAGTCCTTTTGGGTGAAGGGACACAGGAGCTTCTCTGAGTCCATTGTGATGACAGACATAACACTTTAGTACCCGAATTGGCTGCATTGTTCCTTTTTTCTTTTCATTTTGAACCCAGGGTTCTACCCCACAACACTCCGGGCCTGGCTGCTCTTGGCCTGGCTGCTCCGGGCCTGGATGCTTCTTTGGGCCTGGCTGCTCCCGGCCTGGCTGCTCCGGACCTGGCTGCTGCTGCTCTGGGCCTGGCTGCTGCTGCTCTGGGCTTGGCTGCTGCTGCTCCAGGCCTGGCTGCTCCTGGCCTGGCTGCTGCTCCGGGCCTGGCTGCTCCATTAAGGGGCACTTTAACTATTTTTTCTGCTTTTCTTTCTCTTTCCCCAGGAAAATAGTACATTGTTAGTAAGAATGGACACAGTCCTTTGAGTACTTGTTGTTTGTTAATTTACTGATGATAGCCATTCTGGCAGGTGTGAGATAGTACCTCATTGTTGTTTTAATTTGCATCTCTCTAATGATTAGTGACTTTGAGCAATTTTTCACATGTTTCTTGGCCATCTGCATGTCTGTGCTCTTTGGAGAAACGTTTATTCAGGTCTTCTGCCCATTTTTAAATTGGGTTGTTTTCCTGTTGTTGAGTTGTGTGAGTACTTTTTTTTATTTTGGAAATTAAACCCTTAACAGATGTATCATTGGCAAGTATATTCTCCCATACAGTGGGTTCCCTTTTCATTTTGTTGCTGGTTTCTTTTGCTGTTTAGAAGCTTTGTAGTGTGAGATATTTGTTTGGTGTCCCCCCCCCCCTTTGTTTTTCTTGTTCTAGGTGATATATTGGTGAAAATTCTCTGTGAGATGTTTGATATTTTGCTGTCTGTGGTTTCTTCTAGAAGTTTTATGGTTTTACTACTTACATTTAAATTTATTTAGAATTTATTATTGTGTATGGTGTAAGTTGGTGATCTAGTTTCATTTTTTTGCAAGTACCTGTCAGATTATTCCAGTACCATTTATTAAAGAGATTGTCTTTACTCTATTGCATGCTCTTGCCTCCTCTGTAAAATATTAATTGAGTGTAATGGCTTAAGTCAATATCTGGGTTCTCTGTTCTGTTTCGTTGATCTTTGTGCCTATTCTTGTGCTAGTACCAGGCTGTTTTGATTACAATGGCTTTGTAGTATAACTTGAAATCTGGTATTGTGATTTCTCCAACTTTGTTCTTGTTTCTCAAGATTGCTACAGTTATTTGGGGTCTTTTTTGGTTCTATATAAATTTTTGGAGTATTTGTTCTAGATCTGTGAAATATGTCATTGGTATTTTGGTAAGGACTGCATCAAATGTATAGATTGCTTTGGGTAGTATGGACATTTTAATAATATTAATTCTACTAATCCATGAACCCAGGAAGACTTTGATGTCACCAGCTTGTCCTTCCAGGTGAAGTGACCTTTTCCATAGGACTTTCAGGAATAGCAATAAATGTCTCCTTCCCCTCCCCTTTTCTCCCCTCCCCTCCCAAAGCAATAAATGTATTCCCCCCTTCCTCCCATCTTTTTTATTTTTTTAAATCCTCACCCGAAGTTATTTTTCCCATTGATTTTCATAGAGAGTGGAAGAGAGGAGGAGAGACAGAGAAAGAAACATTGATGTGAAAGAGAAACATCAATTGGTTGCCACCTGCATATGCCCTAACTGGGGCCAGAATTAAGCCTATAATGAGGTTCGTATCCTTGACCTGTAATCGAACCAGCAACACTTCAGTCTGAGGGCAGGTGTTCTTACCACTGAGCAACTGGCCAGGGTTCTTTTATTTTCTGTTATTACTAGAGGTTTAGTGCACCGGTGAGGTCCCTCGGCCTGGCCAGTGGGGATCGGGCCGAAACTGGCAGTCCGACATTCCCTGAGGGGTCCCGGAGTGCAAGAGGGTACTCTGCAAAGTTGCTGTTGTTTGACATCTCCTGTATTGAGAGTCTGCCAGCTGGTGGTCAGTGCGCATCATAGCTACCAGCTGGTTGCTTAGTCTTTTATATATATAGACTAGAGGTCTCATGCATGAAATTCATGCAAGGGGCTTGGCCCTCGCAGTCCCAGCTTCATCCGGAAGGTCATCCACGTCCGGAAGGTCATTTGGCTGTCCGGTCTAATTAGCATATTATGCTTTTATTATTATAGTTAATAATGTATAGATACATAAGATAACACTTTCCATTTTCCCCATTTAAAAAATGTACATTTCAGGCGTATTACATTCACAATGCTACCATCCCGCTTTGGAGCTTTTTCATCATCCTAAATGGAAACTCTGTCCCATTAAACAATTGCTCCCATTCCTCTCCCCAGCTCTTGACAGCCACTATTCTATATATAATACTTTTCCTTTTAAGGTGGTGCATTTGTAAAAACAGACTAAGGTTAGAGATTTGTATTTCTTTGCTATATAATTAGTATTAACTTTAGGTGTTTACTTCTGTTTCTAATTTTGCAGCCCACAGTGCTCATGTACATTTTACTTAACTGGTAGAAGCAGAGCATCCTAGGTCCTGGGACTTACTGCCTTTAGTGTTCCAAAGAGAATATGCCGGGCTTGAACCATTCCAAGAGAAAATTCATAGAAGTAGGGTGCCACCTAGATCTTTGTGAGCTCAATTTAAGCCATTTCAGTTGTTTTATTTTTAATAACCTATTTTTATTATTATAGAAGTAGTATATGTTCATTGTAGAAAATCAGACATAGGTAAACCATCATAACAAAATTAAAATCTTGCTACCTAGATCTAACCACTGTTTATGTATCTGTGTTATCTATCCATACAAAATATAGTTTCTGTAGGTCAAAAATTGTTGAATGTTGGCAGTTTCATAGTTTTATGTGCGCGCGCGCGCACACACACACACACACACACACACACACACAGCACACTTCTTGTTTTGTAACTGCCAACTTGAATTTTAGACACATAAAAATATTTGTCTTCCCTCCAGACATTGGAGATCATTTTGATAGCAATGCCATATTTTTTTTTTTTTCAGAAACTTGCTCATGTAGAGAAGTATTCCACATCATTGAACAATCAAGTTATTTTTAGTATATTGCCCTAGAGGAGTCTGAAGTCTGGACTAATGATAAACTTTGATAATATTGAAACTCTGAATACTTTTCTGAGGGGAAGGGTAATTCTAGAACACAGACTGGATGCCAGGGTAGATAAGAACAAGTAGCAGCAGCAGCAGCAGGAACTGGGTAGGAAGATGGGCAAGGGGTAGCAGCTCTCTAAGGTATTTTTCTTCTTTATGCTGTGTCATTATCTGCTCAAATTCTTACTACTTTATGCTGCTTTTAACTGATTGTCGGTATTTCATCAACAGAAACCATTTATGTGGTAGGAGGGTGTGATCAACTCTCCCAGTTTCTAGCCCTGACAACACCCTTAAGTTCTCTTAGCCTGTTTCCCCACAATAAATTGAGCATAAAATACCTGTCTTACCTAATCATAGGGTAATATGAAGATTGAGGGGCATAATTTGTGTGGAAGGAATTTGTAAACTGTTAAGAGCCATACATTAATTTTCTTAACACTGACATTTTCTATTTTATTATCTTGACATATTCTAATTACTTTTCTTTCTGTACTTCTGGGGACTTTTACTTTTGAGATCATCTTTTTAGGTGGTGACCACGTGGTCTTCTCATTTTAATGTCTCCATCACTGATCCTGTATTTTGTCCTTTTTATTATTTTTTTTTTTAATTTTTTAAAAAATATCTTATTGATTTTTTACAGAGAGGGAGAGAGAGGGATAGAGAGTTAGAAACATCAATGAGAGAGAAACATTGATCAACTGCCTCTTGCACACTCCCTACTGGAGATGTGCCCGAAACCAAGATACATGCCCTTGACTGGAATCGAACCTGGGACCTTTCAGTCTGCAGGCCAACGCTCTATCCACTAAGCCAAACCAGTTTCGGCTATTCTGTTCTTTTTATCCTGTACCATTTTATTCCACCTCTCACCAGATTAGTTTATTTTTTTCTCCTCTACCTACTCACATTATTGTACTTTTGGAGACCTGAATCAGTTTGATAATTTTTGAATCTCTTTCCACCTCATTAATTACTTCATTTATTAAATAAGAAAGTGGTTCTGAATCTATACAGCTTTAACATGGCTAGAGGTACAGTTGACCCTTGAACACCATAGGATTAGGAGGACTGACCTCTGCACAATTGAAAATCCATGTATAACATTTTTCTTTTGTTAATCCTCAACTGAGGATATTATTTCCATTGCTTTTTAGAGAGAGTGGAAGGGAGGGAGGGATGAGTAGGAGAGGGTGAGAGACACTTTGATCAAACCTGCAATCCAAATACATGCCCTTGATCAGGAATCGGACCAGAGACCCTTCATTGAGCAGGCCAACGCTCTAACCAATAAGCACACCAGCTAGGGCCCATGTATAACTTTTGATTCCACCAAAACTTAACTACAGTCCCTCGCTATTTTTAGGCAGTTAGTTCCAGAACTCCCCATGGATACCAGAATTAGTGAATACTCAAGCCCCTTATTTAAAACTAGAGGCCTAATGTACAAAGTTCGAGAGCAAGGGGCTCAGCCCTTGCAGCCCCGGCTGACTCTGCCCTCACAGCCCGGTTACCTTGCAGCTACAGCTGCCTCACAGCCCCGCCCACTGGTCATACCAGAAGGTCATTCCTGAAGGTCGTCCTGCCATCTGGTCTAATTAGCATATTAGCTCTTTATTATATAGGACTAGAGCCTCAATGCACAAAATTGTGCAAGAGTAGGCCTTCGCCAGTCCTGGCTGCCTCAGCCTCTCTGGCTGCCTCTGGGGTGCCCCTCTTCTCCCCTCTCCCCCCCTCCCCTCCCGGCTTTGTCTAGAACACATGTGTCAAACACAAGGCCTGAGGGCCAAATCCGTCCCTCCAGGCCTTGCAATGTGGCCCGCACCGCGCTGTCATCACTGCACTCCGCTGCGTTTCCATCACAATGACAGTTTATGACTGTTCAGTAAACCATTCGGCCCACGATTTAGGCTGGATTTTAGATTTTGGCCCCTTCTCTGATTGAGTTCGACACCCCTAGTCTAGAAGGTCATCCTTAAGGTCTTTTCACTGTTTGGCCATTTGGTCGATTTGCATATTATGCTTTTATTATTATAGATGGCCTAGAACAGTGGTTGGCAAACTCACTAGTCAACAGAGCCAAATATCAACAGTACAGTGATTAAAATTTCTATTGAGAGCCACATTTTTTAAACTTAAACTATATAGGCAGGTACATTGTTATTAACTTAATTAGGGTACTCCTAAGCTGGCCTTTGCTAAAAACTTAAGGGGCCAAAGAGCCACTTGTGGCCCATGAGCCGCAGTTTGCCGACACTGGCCTAGAACAATGCATGTAGTTGGTTCTCCTCAGCTGCAGATTTTCCAACTGTGATCAAAGGTACTGTTTATGGTTCACAGCAGATTTGAAATCTGGAGATACAGTGTGTTATATATTTCTTTTAAAAAATCTGCACATAAGGGGACTCATTCAGTTCAAACCTATGTTGTTCAAGGGTCAACTGTAGTCAAATAACAAACAGTTTAAATATCTAATACTAAGTTATACTAATTTGATGGACTATTTTTATTAATGTCAAAAATGCTTCAAGTGAGAAGAGTATACAATATTGTACATACAATAAGATCTGTTATGTATTACAATATGTAGAACATGGGACTAAAAGGAAATACTTCAAAATGTAAACAAAAAAGTAACTACAGGTTTCAGTCCTTTTGTCTTCTTATTCAGTCTATGTCTTAACTACCTGCTTTTGTCTCAGACATTTATAGAGAGTTAACCATAGGGTGAGGTGGAAAGACAGGGATGCAACCTAAGCAAAGACAGCAAGATGCAAGACTTTATATAATGACTAGCAAAAGAAGGCACACATACACATTCTGTTGTTGAGAGCACGCTCCTTGTTGCCAGAGAAGTTGGAATGCCCAAATCTCCTAGCAATGCTGTAAAAGTTCATGTTCAATTCATGCCCTGTATGAAAGCTTGGTATAGACTTCTTATACACATTTGGGGTAACTGAATATTTCTGTTGTGCATTTGAAGCAGAGAGAATCCTGGGAGTCTCAGACTAGAAAAATAAAGACTTCACTTAAATCCCTGCTCCACCACTGATTTATCTGTGGCCTTGAGCAAGTTATTAATGCTTTCACCCATTGTTGCCAACCTCAAAATCTTGTTGTTAGAGTCAATTAGATACTGAATGTGAATTCATTAAAGGTAGAATAGTCTATTTTGATGCCATGTATTTATAATTATTGTCATTAACAGGATCACAATTCCATATTTGCTCTATGTACTGGCCAACAGAATGGAGTCTGATTGATGTAATGATACTGAAAGCCTTTTTAGGCCCAGAAAATGTTTTTAGGATATATGTTGAATGAGAGACTGGAGACTAGATCCTGAAAAAAAGCAAGCATTGGTCATTTGTTTTCAGGGAGGGGAGAGAAATGTTGAACCTCTATAAACCTTGAGAAGGTAGAAAATTCTGGAATATGTATGTCATTTGACCAAGTAGCCCTGTTTCTGGGAATTTATCCTGTAGGTATTCTTGTATGTATGGAATATGGTATGTGTTATAAAGTTATTTTATCATGGTTTGTAATAGCAAATACTAGAAACAACCTAAGTGTCCATCGAGAAGGGGCAGGTTAAGTAAATTATGGTAATACATATAATGAAATACTCTACAGCTATAAAAAATGAGTGAGATAGCACCAATCTTTTAAGAAAAAATATTTTTATTGATTTCAGAGAGGAAGGTAAGAGGAAGAGAGAGAAACATCAATGATGAAAGAGAAAATCATTGATTGGCTGCCTCCTGCATGCCCCCTTTTGGGGATGTGCCCTGACTGGAGATGTGTCCTAACTCCTGATTCATAGGTTGATGCTCAACCACTGAGCCACACCGGCTAGGCTGAAGCACTAATATTTAAAGAAAATATTTCTAAGTAGAAGAAGTTCTAGTACAGTGCTAGAATATGCTACCTTTTGTGTAAAAATAGAGACAAGGATAGATCTTTATTCTTGCTTGTATACGCATAAAGAAATTCTAGAAGGGTATTTGAGAAACTAGTAGCAGTATTTATGTGGGATGAGGTCTGGGGGTAGTTGAGAAACTTTTAACTCTGTGTGCATATATTTATTTATTTTTACTTTTTGAACCATGTAATCATATTACTTAAAAAAGTAAAAGTTTTTTTTTTTTTTAATGGAAAGAAACTCTGCCTTTGTGACCTGAGGGCAAATGGGGTTGCAGAGGACATACCTGAATAGTTCGTGCACTATGACTAACATCTTATATCCATGGATAATAGAACCATTTATTTCTTTTAGGTTTATGGTCAAGATTTAAAAAGAAATGCTTTAAGCTCATCAGGAAGATGCCTATTATTGGTCGAAAGGTAAGTGGGATCTGTATAGATCTCCCTCCTCTACCCACTCCTATGGTCATACCTCTTTCTATTTATTCTTTGAACCTGATATTCTCAAGGGGGAGGTGTGTTATTGTCCTCCACCTCCAAGGAACATTTGATAATGATTGGAGACATTTTTGGTTTTTACAACTGGAGAGGAATGCTGTTGGCATTTAGTGGATAGCGGCCAGGGACGCTGCTAAACTTCCTCCATACAATGCCCAGGACCACCCTGCACATAGCAGAGGATTATTGGCTCAACATGTCAGAGTGTCCAGATTGAGAAACCTTACCTAATCTTTTCTGCAGTATATGTGACTAAAGGAGAAAGGAGATGTCTGTCAAGAATTTGAAATTAGAAAACTTGATAGAAGTCACATGATGCTCTGGAGCAATATCTGGCTGGGCTGGTTTTAGTTATTTATGTGGGGGTTGAGTACTTATGTGGTTTAGATCAAGGTTGGCAAACTTTCCGTAAAGGGCTGGCTATGAAACATTTTAGGCTTTGTAGGCCATACTATGTCTGTCACAACTCCTCAACTCTGCCCTTGCAGAGGGATTGCAGCAGCAGGATCATAGGTACAGGAATGATCCTGGCCGTATTCCAGGGAATTTTCTTTACAAAAATAGGCGTAGGCCAGATTTGGGTTGTAGTTTGCTGATCCCAGGTTTAGAAATTTAGATATCAGAGCTATTCTCTTGCTCTTTGTACCTATCCATAGTCTAGTATGTTCCCTTTACTGTATTGTCTCTGCCCTCACCCTCACTGAGTATAAAATAGTCACCTCTGTACCCTCCCTTTTTTTTTTTTTTTTTTTTTTTTTTTTTTTTTTATCACAGATGAAGATAAACAGGGCAGGCCCTATTGCAAGCTTTAAGGAAGCAAATGAGTTCTTGATATCTTCATCTCCTCCAGTATCCTGCCTTTCGCCTCTGCTCCTCATCAATCTTTCATTTTTGGCTTTCAATTCCCTATTCGGTTCAGACCAGCAAAGATGTCAATTATCTTTTGCCTTTAACTGAAATCCATTCGGAGCACTATATAAACACTCACAAACTATGTATCATCAAGTTCATTTCCTGTGGGGAAGTAGAAGTAATAACTGGGTGGAGATAGGGCATGAGAGTAGATACATAGGCTTTTATTTTAGTTCACATTATATTAAGCCCCCAAATTAAATCTGCTTTGGTCCTTATAGAATAGAGAGTAAAGGAAAGGGGGAAGAGATAATGGACAGACTGGCTCATTAAGGATAATAGCATTTCCCCTTTTCAGTCCCTATATTTTTCTGCCCTTATTTTTCTTCATGTTTTTTCTCTTTCAATTTCAGATTTTGAGACAATGCTAGGGTTTCAGAACCTATTCTTAGATTTATGAACTAACAGAATTGGAAGGGCTTAGAAACTATATGGTTAGTCACCTTTCATATTTTAGAAGGAAATTTTGAGGCTCAGAGACAAGAAGTTACTTATTTTGAGTGAGCACTTGAGTTACAAGCTGTGGCCAGCTTGAGGGGCTAGAATGCTGTCTTCCGCACTTCCCAGGATGGCTTGAGCTTCTCTGAGGGGAGTTGTGCAGGTGCCTCCTGACCTGTCTTTTGAAGGAGCTCATCACTTGGACAAGCACCAGGATCCATTTTACTGCTGCTTGGCCTGTTTTCTGGTAACTGTTTGTGGCTCTACCTTTGTTTCTTTAGTGGACACACTAGCTGCTGCCAAGACAGGAACAAGGTCCAAATGTTGCCCTCAAAGAAGTGCTGACATTAGCAAATGCAAACCAAGTAAAGCAGAGGTGATGTTGACATGGCAGAGGAAGGGCAGGGGATGGGGGTGGGGGTTGGGATTCAAGTGCATCTTTGACCTTCAAAGAGAAGTCAACTTTTCAGATTTCTAAGAAAGTGTTGCACATGCCAGAAAATAGTTGCACAAACTGTCATCGTGTCTCTAAGAAAAAAATGCCCCCTTTTTCTCAGTATCTGTGTGGTGCCCAGTCTTTGGCAGCTGACTTAGTCTCTATGCTGTATTCTTCCATTTCCTTGCTAACTTTGTCTTTCTTACCTTTGGAGATCCAAGATGAGTTGAACAAGGTCAAGGATGATATTAGCAAGAACCTGTCATTTCTGCAAGTGGACAAGGAGTATGTGAAGGTTCTGCCCTCTCAAGGTCTGACCTCGTCTGCTGTTCTGGAAAAGCTCAAGGAGTACAGCTCTATGGGTATGACTCTCTGCACATGCATGCTACCTACTTCAGTAACCTGGCTGGCGGTCAGTTAATGTTTGTGAAGTTAAGAACAATTCATCCTAGTGCCATCGAGCTCGCTCGCACGCGCTCTCTCTCTCTCTCTCTCTCTCTCTCTCTCTCTCTCTCTCTCTCTCTCACACACACACACACACACACACACACACACACACCCAGTCTCACCCTCTCTCTCTCTCTTAGACACACACTCAGTCTCACCCTCTCTCTCACATGTGCAAGAAAAGGAAAAGAAATGGTTCATCCAGATATGTAAATGCTCAGAAGGGCCTGTCTCAAATGTTGACTTTCATATTTTAAAATTTATATTTAGATTCATCCTTCATCCATAAAACAAACAAATCTCAGAGACAGTGGAACTTGGTTCCATTTCCTTTTGTAAGCCTGAGGAAAACAGATGCATTTGTTCTTTGAAAAGATAATATGTTTAATAAAAATGGGTGAGTTACTTAATTTCTCTATGCTTAAACTTCTGTCTCTCTGCAATGGGAATAATAATACTTATTTGAAAGGATGATTATAGAGATTGAATGAGATCATATATGTAAATGTATAATACCTGGTATATAGTAAGTGCTCAATAAATGTTAATAACACAAATGCATGTTTGTTACACATTAAAGTCATATTATGAATATTTTTTTAAAAGTTTTTTAGATTGGCATAATTTATAGAAAATTTGCAAAGATAATACAGAGATTTCCCATCTATCCCTTATCCAGCTTCTCCTGATTTTAACAATTAAACTAACATTTGTCAAAGCTAAAAAACTAATATTGGTACAGTTCTATTAACTGAACTACAAATTCTATTCTGATTTCACCAGTTTTTCCACTGATGTCCTTTTTTATGTTCTAGGATCCAGCCCAGGATACCATGTTGCACTTAAAAAATACATTTTAGTCCTAGCCAGATTGGCTCAGTGGATAGAGCATGTTGGCCTGTGGACTGAAAGGTCCCAGGTTTGATTCTGATCAAGGGCACATGCCCGCTTTATGGGCTTGATCCCCAGTAGGGGGCATGCAGGAGGCAGCCAATCAACGATTCTATCTCATTACTTATGTTTCTCTCTCTCTCTCTCTCTCTCTCTCCCTCTCCCTTCCTCTCTAAAATCAATAAAAATACATTAAAAAAATAAAAAATACATTTAAAAATGTTAAATGCAATGTGTTGAGCTTTGACATCGGCAGGTATAAAATTAGGTACAGTCCAGGGTTTATAGATGATATAAAGCAGGAATTAGCACTCTGAGACCTGTATATTAAGGGTTTCTGTGATTATGAGGTCTGGCTGCTGCCTTCCTTTCCAGTTTTAAGTCACCATCCATTGGTATACTCTGTAGCAGCAGTAAAAGAACATGAAATGAAACCATGTATCCTAATTTTGAAGTCTGGTGGCCTCTGGTCTGAACATATACCTGGTACAGAGCAGGATCCTCTAAGGACAGAGGGAAGTCAAGCTGACAGCAAACCAGAGTTTGGCAGGTTGGTGAGATTGAGGGATTAGTCTAGATATTTACTACTCAGTCCTCTGCTCTCTTGTTGGAGCTGAAGATCTTTGTTTTGTGGATCCCATGACTATAGTCTTTAATGTGTTTTGTAATAGCTTTCTCACTACTCACTTTCAATATGGCACAGCCATATTGTAGCAAAAGGACCTGAGACACATTTGTTGGTATAATGTAGAGTGTGTAATATGGATCCTCAGGCAGGAGATGGAAAGTTGGGCTTTATATTCTGGTCAGGAATCTTTCCGGTGAGCTTTACCCCAATGTTGACTGTTCTGATCCTGGATGTAGCAGCAGATGTTGCTGGAAGCAGGTGGCTAATTCTATGTTGGTTTCCAGACTCTTGTCTGAAGGAGGGGCCCTGAGACTAAGATGTCTCATTGTGGCTTGTGTAGTCACGATCCAGTTCCCTGACTCCAACCCTCCTGACTATGTACTGAAATTTCACTTCTTCTCTGACACCTCTGCTCACAGTTCCCACACTTCCTAGGACTAGATAGGAAGGGCGGGAGGAAGAAGGAAGCATTGCTGACAAAGGCCAAGCTATGCCCTGTAGAGAACATCGGATGATATATAGGTGGAGGAAAATGTTTCTGATGTTAGGAGGCAGTTGGAGAAGAGGACAGCATGCTTACTGGGCTTCATTGTACTGAGTGCTGTGGGTGTCTTTCATATGCTGATACTAATTGATCTTTATTTTGCTGTGGTAGCTGTAATGGATTTTTTCTTTCTTGATGTAATATAAAGACACCTTTGGGTTTCCACTCAAATTTTTTTTTCTTTTGTACTCAAAGGACTTCCTTAGCATTTCCTCTTCTTAGACCCTTCCTGCCCAATTAAAAGTTTCTGCTTTCTGACCCAGTGATGTTACCTTCCTCTGCAGATGTCTTGTGGCAAGAAGGACGAGCCTCGGGAGCGGTGTACAGTGGGGAGGAGAAGCTCACGGAGCTCCTCGTGAAGGTGAAGCCCAGGCTCGGGGGGAGTGTGCGGTCTGTGCCAGTTTATGTAATTTAAATATGACTTCAGAGAAGTTTATTGTTAAAATAAAACTAAAGTTTAGAAAGTTTCTCTCCACCCAACAGGTGAACATGTATAATATTATTAAAGATACCTTCAGTCTGTAATAAAGTACAATATTGTTAACGTTTGCAGGCTTTATTGACACCCTGTGTAGAAGGCAGATTAGCAGGGAAGATAGTCCCAGAGTTTGAGATTATTAACATTACGACACATTTTGTTTGATAAGAAGAGACAAGGGAGAGAAACTTGATTATAATTTCCGATACTACCCGACTCTCAAATCAGATGACCTGAGAATGAGTGTGGTTTCACTTATAATGAAAATGCTTCTCATTTTTTGTTGACTTTAGAATTGCCTTTAGCATCTTTCATTTCTAGTCAGGTTTAATTTTGAAATCCCACTTTGCCATATAAAATCGGCATTGACTGGTCTCTGAGATATTTGTGTTTGATTATTATAATCATGAAACTGCTTATACAGTACTAAATATAGGCTTTGCTCAGCTGTAACTTGATATAATGCTCCAATCTTATTTCTGTGTTTAAAAATCATTCAGTGGATTCCTGTCATCTACACTGATTCTACAGGATAAAATACAAGCTGCTTATGAGGCAGAAAATACCAGGTCCCCCATGAGCCAGCTCCCTCCTACTTTTGGCAAACATTCCTATTACTTCCCCATGTAAACACTAGCAGGTGCCTTTTCTTTTTACAGAGTACACCTGCTCTTATGTTGTTTGCCTGTCTCTCCTTCCTTCCACCTGCTGTAAATGATGAATTCCTATTTCTCTCAAGGTTCCACTCAGCAGACACCTCCAGACCACTCAGGATGCTCATTATTCCCTCTTTAAGGCCCCTTACCCTCACACACACACATCTGGCATTGCACTTAGAACAATCGCTGCTTTGTTGCCAGACACTCTACTAAGTGCTTTGCATGTGTTACATTAGTTATTTGCTTATCGCCAGAACCCTATCAGATCAGTACCTTAATTACCCCTTTTAGCATATGAGAAAACTGAGCCTCAGAGGCTATTTTTCCTGAGATTACACAGCTAGAAGTGACTGGTGAAGCTTAACCTTCAAACTGAGTCCGCTTGGTGGTGTAGTCTGTGCTTTTAACCACATTTATACTTCCTCTCCTACCACATTGTAAAATAATTTATTTACATGTGTGCTTCCTCCACTGATTTTGATCTTCTTTAGGTTGGGGAACATAGTTTACCTTTTTCCAGTGTCTAGTGTGCCTAATACCTAGAAATTTTGGCTTAGTGTATGATTGTTTGTTCTGTACAGCTTAATTGTCTTGCTTCATATCTGCTTGCATTCCTTTGCAGGCTTATGGAGATTTTGCATGGAGTAATCCCCTGCATCCAGATATCTTCCCAGGACTACGGAAGATAGAAGCAGAGATTGTGAGGATAGCTTGTTCCCTTTTCAATGGGGGACCAGATTCCTGTGGATGTGTAAGTATATGCAAGTGGCATCCAGTATTTTTTTAGCTTAAAATAGGAAAATTTATTTAGAACATTTTACTTTTTTTATTACATATATGATATGTGATTATTGTAGAAAGAGTCAATAGCCCTAGCCAGTTTTGCTCAGTGGATAAACCATTGACCTGAGGACTGAAGGGTCCTCAGTCCTATTCCAGTCTAGGGCACGTACCTGGGTTGCGGGCTTGATCCCCAGTAAGGGGCATGCAGGAGGCAGCCAATCAATGATTCTCTCTTATCATTGACTTTTCTCTCTCTCTCCCTCTCCCTTCCTCTCTGAAATCAATAAAAATATATTTTAAAAAATACTGCTTGTAGTTCTGTATCAACATTTTGGCATATATTCTTGTAGATAATCTTTCTCTTCAATTTTTTACTTTGAAAAACTTTACATTTACATAAAGTTGCCAGAATAGTTTGAAGAACACCCTGGATTCACTAACTATATTTTGCCCTATCTGCTCTCTGCTTCCTTCTTTCTCTTCTTCCCTTTCTTTTATCCACCCACCTTCCTATCCACTTACTTATATAATTTGTTGAACCATGTCATGAACCAAGTCATGAACCATGACTTATTTTTATACTTGCTCATTTTACTTGAGCTGGATGCTTACTTGCTGATTTTGCTATGAATCGCATCTCATTTAATTGGTTTAGGAATAAAACAAGAGGTAAAATGTATATTTAAGACACATATGTTTCAACTATTCTTTTCAGTAGACATTTGTTAGTTTTTCTAAACTGTGATAGATAAACTTCTGTTTAGATTTGTTACTACAAACTGATACTGTCTTCTTAGAAAAAATGAAATCTCAGCTTATGCAGGATAGCGTTAGATTTAACCAGTGTGCTGCAATGGTAACCTAGAGGTGCTCACCCTTTCAGATACTTTTGTAATCATTAAAAGGTCTGCATATTTAATTATTGAAGGGCCCATCCAAAGATAATAACTTTCAATAGTTACTTTTTGTGTTTTTCCAGTAAGCTGTACTGTTTTATTATTATGTTGGCACCATGGTAAATCAACATGTTCAAATATTCAGTAGGTAACAGAACTGGTATTCATGGAATTCATTTCCCCAAAATAATTCTAAAATGGTTACAAACTGGACTGATAATGGGTTCTCTTATGGCATTTTGATGAACAGCATGACATAAAGGGGAGATGACGATATACTTATAGTATGTACCCTGTTTCCCCGAAAATAAGACAGTGTCTTTTATTAATTTTTTCTCCCAAAGTTGCGCTAGGTCTTATTTTCAGGGGATGTCTTATCTTTCCATGCGCTAGGTCTTATTTTCGAAGGATGTCTTATTTTCGGGGAAACACGGTAGTATTCTCCTGTGCCATCAGACTATTTCTTTTAAGAGACCAAAGGTTAAACAAGCACAAAACACTTTGACCTTACCCAATAAAGTTGAAGATAGAAGTCTTAGACCCTGAAATTCTCCAACTCAGGATATATCCTAGAAAAACATGTGTGTGTTGGGATAGATATATATTCATAGCAGCATTGTTCGTGTTAGCTAAAAACTGGAAATAAATCAGTTGTCAATCAAGAGTATGGTGGAGCCGAGACCGGTTTGGCTCAATGGATAGAGCGTCGGCTTGGGGACTGAAGGGCCTGGGTTCGATTCCGGTCAAGGGCATGTACCTTGGTTGCGGGCATATCCCCAGTAGGGGGTGTGTGCAAGAGGCAGCTGATCGATGACTCTCTCTCATCGATGTTTCTAACTCTCTATCTCTCTCCCTTCCTCTCTGTACAAAATCAATAAAATATATTAAAAAAAAAAAAAAAAAAAAAAGAGTACGGTGGATAAGGAAATTATGTATGTTTTAGTCCATTATGGTTGTTCCTCAAATTGATGCCCAGATTGCTCCATTTTTGACTAATGGGAGCTTTCTAATTTTGGTTCCTAGGTCCTTTTGCATGTCTCACGTAGTCTTTTACTAGTAAAGCTTCCATTCCCCCCCCCCCTTTTTTTTTTTTTACAAAATATTTTTATTATTCCATGGTCATCCTGTACATTTCTACTCCAGACCCGGGGCCAGCCATTTGTCCATGGAACCCTGGTTCATTTATAACTCTGTGAAATATTTACATGGTTTCTAAGTAAAATTTATGGAACAAGACAGATTTTAAAATAACTAGAAAAAGAATCCAGAGAGACAAATAAATAGAAAGTACAAAAGTGAAGTTAAGAAACATGAAGGTTAGAGTGAGAGGCTAAAACAGGGTTTAAAGCAGCCAGGAAAAAAAACCACACAAAACAAAATTACCTGTAAAGGTATAACTATTAGAACAACTGATTTTCTCAATAATAATGCCTGGGGCAGTTGGGGTAGATGAAAAGACTGGCAGTGAGCTGATAATTGTTGGAGTTGTGTGACCAGTACAGGGATTTTATTAATTCCCTTTCTAGTTATGTCTAATGTACATTTTAGTCTTTCATTGGGTTTTTAAATTTTGTTTACTGTATTTTTCATTCTTGAGAATTCTATTTGGTTCATTCGTTCATTCATTCATTCATTTAATCCTTACCAGAGGACATGCTTAGAGAGAGGAAGGGGGGGGGGGGAGAGAGAGAGAGAGAGAGATTGATTTTGATCTGTTGCCTTTAGTACATGCCCCGATCAGGAATGGTGCCCTAACCAGGAATCGAACCAGCAACCCTTTGGTGCATAGGACAGCGCTTACCAGCTGAGCCACATGGGCTGAGTTCTTCTTTTGTTTTTAAATCTGTTTGGTGGTTCTTTATTGTCCTTTGGCTTATAGTTTATTTAAATATGTTGCATGTAATTATTTTATATTCTCTTCTGACAGTTCCATTGTCCATGGCCTTTCTGTTTCTGCTGGTTTCACTTGTGTTGTCTTGCATCCTTATAGTTGTGTTTTTTATTTATTTTTTTTACTACAAACCACTCATTTTCCTGGGAACTTATCTTTAAGGCCCAGAATGAAGTTAAATTCTTCCAAAAAAGGTTTGTAATTACTTCTGTCAGTTGCTGGGAAGTACTACCACATTGGAACCAATTTTAGTTCAGTTCACAGCTTATAGTTTTGCATTACAGAGGTAGTTGAGTTCAAACCACAAACTCACATAAAAGCTGCCTTGTTATACATGCTTTAGAAATCCTTATTCTTCTTTTCCTGAGCAACAGGGTCGAGAAAAGCAATTTTTCTTGATGTCCTCTTCTGTACCAGTGGGATATTTTCCTTGTGCCCCTCAGATTATGGGTGTAATTTCATTTTTTTCCAGCCATCTCCCATTAGCCTCCTTTCTTTGGGCAGGTCCTAAATTTATCTCTTGTTCTTGAATGGGCGAGGGAGTTTAAGGTCTCTTGGAATTGGCAGCCACCTTCAGAGGTAAAGCCAGCTTTGGCACTCACTTATTTTGTAGGATTCTTGATTCTGTTTTGTTTGCAGTTTCAAATATTCCTTTACGTTAGCTCAGTGGGGGATATAAAAAAATAATGTTTTATCAGGGCTTTTTAAAATTAATCCTCCCCTGGAGATATTATTTCCATTGATTTTTTTAGAGAGAGTGGAAGGGAGGGGAGAGACACAGATGGAAACTGATGTGAGACACATCTATTGATTGCTTCCCGAATGCGCCCTGAGCAGGCTGGGGATTGTGTCTGCAAATGAGGTATGTGACCTTGACCAGAATAAAACCCATGACCCTTTAGTCCAGGGGCCGACACTCTAACCACTGAGTCAACCCGGAGAGGGCTTGCCAGGTTTTTAGTTTCAGGTAGGAGTGTTGCCCAAGGTATAAAATCTGTATTGCTGGGAATAGAAGTCCCATGATTGTTTTTTGTGTTTTTTCCTACGTGAGAGATCTTTATGTACTTGAAAGCCTCTTTACACCTGAATCTCTTCCCTGTTTTTCCTAGGTTACTCAGCTGTTCCTTAGGGAATACAATTTCCAAACAGATTGCCACCCATCCCTGTCATTCTTCTCTGAACACTTTTTGGTTATCTATGGCAGCCAGATGGACACAATTCTTCAAGTGTGGAGTGACATTGATCTTTCAGTCTGTCTTATTTATCTGGGTTCACTAAATTTACCTTAAACCTTTCCTCTAAGTCAGTCTTTTTATTCTCAGCAGTGTTTATTCAGTTCCGTTCTGTATTGGTGCTGTTTGGTACTTCATTTTTTTAAAGTTTGCAGTCTCATTTTGTTGTTTCAGTGTCCAGCTTTTCAACTCTTTTCTAGAATCATGACCTTATTATATTGTGCTGTAGTGAGAAACAGTCATGAGGAATTTCCTTCTGTTCCTTAGGTGGTTACCTTTGGAGCTGGACTTTTATTTTGCATGCTACTTTCTTCCTTGTATATGTTTGTATCGTTACCATGCCATTTTCTTTTGTCTCCACTTCAAAGAATCAGTCCAGATGTTCTCTCCCCATTTTGCTCTTTCTCCCTAGCTGCCGTGTCTACCACTCTGATCTGAAGAGTAGGAGAAAAGATAAGGAAACCCCTTCTGTTTGCTTCTCCGAAGATTTGGAGTATTAATGAGAGTGGTCAGGATTTTGCTGAGTTGCCTGGATAATTTCCAGGGCTTAGAAGAGGGATTATGAACTGTGTTTTGCTCTCTGCTATGGATTGGAAACTTGTTTCTTCTTTTCATTGCCAGTATGGAAGTTTATTGCATCAGATTATATCTCGTTCCTCCTTTGGTTCTTATTATACGTTGTCACTACTGTTTTTCTTTATTCCTACAGGTATTGGGAGGAAGTCCGTGAGGTAGTTTTAGTCTTCCAGTCTTCCAGCGCTAGGGTATTTGTACTTTGCTTTTGCTTAGGTACAACTAAACCATGTCTCTCCCTTTATGATCTTCTTTGTGGATGTGTCACTGTTCAGGAGAAGGGTGGAGTCTAAGATCCCCAGTCTCTTCTAACACTTAGACTTCAGACTGAAATCTCTGGGATCCTTCGAGTTCTCAACTTCTGGCTCTAACTCTCTCTTGATGAGCTGCTTTGGGTTAAGAAAGTTCATAGGTAGGGAACATGAAGACAAAGCCTTAAGAGTTGGGCTGTCTTTAGACTATTCCCATTTAAGGTATTACACTTCTCGTTCTTTGTTTTTTAGCCTTCACCTTTTTTTTTTCTTTTCCCTTTTATTAACTTCATTTGCCTCAAAATGGATGAGCAGAGACTATATACCAAAAGAAATTAGGTTGCCAAGGAAACTGGTCCTGGCTGATGCAGGTGTCAGTAGGACCAAACATTACCTTAAAAGAAAAATTTCCAAACAGGTCATGTCCTACTCTTGTTTTTGACACACATTTCATATGTTAGAGTGAGAATTATAAATGTTAAAAGAAGCTGACTAACAACAAGTAGTTATTGAAGTCTCTGCATTCTTCACAGCTAAATTTTCATTTCCCTTTGGGTGCAGGGGGAGGAGGGAAATGGGAGAATCTTTAAACAGAATTTAGGGATCAGAAATAAGAATTAGAATTGAGGTATCCCAGCTTTAATAGTAAAAAAAAAAAATACACTGGTATTTCCTTAACAAATATCAATGTTGATTTGCTTAACAGTTGAACTAAATATAGGACATGTGAAGTGAGTAACTCGGGTTTGGAAATATTTTTGCGTGTGTCATTACGACCTTAGTAAGAGATGGACTCCCTGGAGACTGACTTTGCTGGTCCTTTTCCGACTTGCTGCACAGCTGGTTTGACTTCTCATGTGACATTCTGAGGTTTTAGCTGGAGCACAGGACATACTGCTGATGTGCAGAGCTGACCTCAGTGTAAGCACTTTTGTCTTCTCCAGCATTGAAGTTCAGAGACCTACACACAAGTGTGTTATGCCCACGTCCAGTACATTACTTTGTGGTCACATGTTTCATGAAGACTTCCTGAATCAAAAATGACTTTTCTCAGCTAATCTTCCATATAACTCCTGACTACTGGGATTTGGTATCGAATGCTACTTTTGTCCTATATGTGGATATTATTTTAGGAAGCTTCAGTAATTACCCTCTCTCATTCTGTCTCACATTTAGCTACACTAAATACAAAAACATAGGAAGTTTTACTTCTTATCAACAGATGCTAATGGATGACATTGGGTGCATCACTTCAGCCTCTCAGCAACTCAGTGTTCTCACTTTTCTTATAATGAAAAAGCCATATAAGATCATGTGAGTCTTTGGAAATGGTAAATTTAAGAAAATATCCACCTAGCTCAGTGCTGTGGCTTTTCTTTTTTGGCTTGTTTTAAAGTTATTAATTCTTGGATGTTATTGAAAGATAGCCAGGTGGGTATGATATGCCTGTTAGTCATGGCTTGCTGAGAGTCAAACCGAGCATTAAGAAAAGTTAACTGAGGGTCTGTTAAGTGTCTGCCACGAGGCTTGGTGCTAGGAATGTTGTCCTGAACAGATTGGTCCTCTCCCTTATGAGATTGTAGTCCCTTGGGGTTTATAGGATGAATGAGATAACTGCTGAGTATCAGAGTTGCTAGACCTCACTTCAGGAAAACATGTTATTTCATTTAGAAACATTAGGATTTTTGTTTTGATTTCAGATAACAAACTAATAGAGGCTGCTTTTTCTTTCAAACTTGTAAAAAACCAGAACTTCACTTTAGAGTGCCTAATTATCTGTTCTTGGTCTTGTAATGTGTTGCACAGTTTACTACAACTGTAGCTACACAATTTCATGTTCTTAGTGGTCATTGAAAATTTAAGTCAAAGTCAATCCTGATGCTTTTGAATGGTGTAAAATGCCCTGTCCTATCTGCAATTGGAGGAATTAATGAGGAAATGGATTGTGCTCAGATCTGAGCAGATGTGCAAGTTGTCTAGATACCATGGAGCTTCTGCTGATCTTAGTGTTTTTACTCTTCTCCTGCACCCAGCATGGGCTTAGCAAACAAAGCCAAGTCTCCCTTCTGGAAGACATAGCAGTGTCTGCCCTATACCAGCCACCATCAAAACCAGGGCAGGCTGATAACTATCCCTCACTTCCCTCCACAGATGACATCTCTCCTTTTTCACAGGTGACCTCTGGGGGTACAGAAAGCATACTGATGGCCTGCAAAGCTTATAGGGACCTGGCCTTCGAGAACGGGATCAGAACTCCAGAAATGTATGTATGTGTGGCTGTGTCGTTTTCTCACCCCCCGCTGAGATTTGTCTGGAATGCTGCTGTATGAAACACCTGCCTGTTTTCAGCTTCTCTTCCTTTGGCAATTCTATTCCTCTTTCCTCCTATCCTGTGTCCTTGACGCCTATCTCTTTACATTCACCAAAATCCTAAGTGAATCAGCCAGTTAATTTTCAAAATCATCCCCTCCACCCTGATCCGCACCTCTCCTTTATACATGGTATATATTCTTCAAGCAAAAATGAGATCCTTTTTCTAAGTGACAAGAGTGACAAGACTATATGTTTGAATTCTGTGATATTTATTATAAATTATTTGGAGCCTAAGCAACAATCTTCTGTTTATCTTAGTTCAATGAAAGTTATATTTCAGGCTGCTTTGCGGTTCCCCTAAGAAAATTACAAGCTAGCTTGGCCAGTGTAGCTCAATGGTTGAGCATTGACCCAGGAACCAGGAGGTCACCTGTTCGATTCTTGGTCAGGGCACATGCCTGGTTGCAGGCTCAATCCCCAGTAGGGGGTGTGCAGGAGACAGCCAGTCAATGATTTTCTCTCATCATTGATGTTTCTATCTCTCCCTCTCCCTTCCTCTCGGAAATTAATAAAAATATATTTAAAGAAAAAATTTGAATCTAAGGGTAGTTTTATGGGATAGAACATTTTTAAATCTTTTTGAGGTTTACCCATATTGCCACCCCATAGTTTTTGGTTTTGTTTTGCAATGTATTTGTATTGATTTCAGATAGGGAGGGAGAGGAAGAAAGAGATAGAAACATCAATGACGAGACAGGATTATTGAGTAGCTGCTTTCTACACACCCCTTACTGTGGATCGAGACTGCAACCCAGCATGTGCCCTTGACTAGAATCAAACCTGGGGCCCTTCAGTCTGTAGGCCGACACTATCCACTGAGCCAAACTGGCTAGGGCCCAACCCCATAGTTTTGATATTTGGTTACATTATTTTTTTTTCTGTAGATCCTCTCCTTGTACAGTGTGTTTATATGTTATTTGGATTAATGTTTTTCCCATAAGTGTCAGTGACTAAGGCCTTGATCGTATATGATTTCATACTGTGATTCCTACTTAAGCCTAACAGAATAATTCAGGTTACCATCTTTCTTCAAGCATAAATCTTTGGTGCTTGGTACTTAGTAGGACAGCTTTTTCTCCATTAAAGGGAATAGGCTAATTGTAAGAGTGGAACCATTGAGGGAAATCTGAAAGCAAATACTTAACTGTGACTTAGTTTCCTTTTTTAATACTATTTGAAATGCTACTTCCAAGTGTGCAGTGCAAATGGAGATTATAGTTTCTTATAAGATCATGGTCTTTCAAAGATGGAGGGGACTTTTGATCTGATGCTTGGCTGCTGCTTTAACAGCCCTGCCAAGCAATCTTGCGTTTTCTGCCTGAACATGTACCGTGTTAGGAAGCTTGCTCTCCTCTGATGTGCCTGTCTTCATGTTAATTTGATCCAGTTTTCCTCTTCTTTTACCTGTCAGCCCTAATTTATATTTTGGATCCTTCAATGTGGGATTACTTTCAAGTTCTTCCTGTTGCCAAAATGATTTCCGACATAGTAGGGAGAAAGTTCCTTAGAATATCTTTTTGTGCTTAAAAAGTAAATATAAACACTTTAAAATTTTTGAGGAAATAAAATTTTTGAGGAAAAGTAACCAGAAGTTTACCCGGTTAGCTGTTAACTGTGCTCTTTTGAACCTCATTTTGATCTGAATTTCATTATTCTCTTCTTCCCACATTTCAGTGTGGCCCCCCAGAGTGCCCACGCTGCATTTGACAAGGCAGCCCATTATTTTGGGATGAAGATTGTACGGGTTCCACTAAACAAAAAGATGGAGGTGGATGTTCGGGTGAGTTCCTCTGAAGGGCCATTGTCTGCCTTGGGCTGTGAGAAGCAGGAAGTGTACCAGACTGACTGTTTTTTTCCAGGGTCACATGCAGATAGGCTCAAAATATCTTTGATTGTAGTGGCCAGAGTTGCAAAATCTTCCACTGGCAGTGCTGATTGACCGTAGCTTCAGTCTTTTCACAGATTCATCCATTTGTTCCTAACTTTAAAGGCCTGGGTTTGCTTCAGCACTGCCTCTTTCTCTTCTCTGTTTGTGAAATAAGCATGTCCTAACTTGCTCTAAGACTCTCACTCTGGTTTGTATGTTTTTTTTTATAATTTAAAAAAAATCCTCACTGGAGGAGGATATGTTTTTATTGGAGAGAGAGAGAGAGAAGGAGGAGAGAGAGGAGGGAGAGAGGGAGAGAGAGAAGAGATATGCCCTGACTGGGGATTGAACCATTTGGTATACAGGTCGCACAGAACCAGCCAGGGTGTTACTGTGGTTTTGATTGGCCTGAATGAGCATCATTGCCAATATAAAGTAATGATTTTTTCCATAAGTAAACTATTCCAATTTATTAGCATTAGCATTATCCCCCCCATCTTTATTGAGGCATTAGTGTACCATTAATTGACAAATTAAAAATTGTATATATTACAACTTAATGTTTTGATGTAAGTATGCATTGTGAAGTAGTCAACACAATCAAGCTTTTAACATTTTCATTACCTCACATAGTTAACATTTTTATTTTATTTTTATTTTTTTCATGGTGGAAATACTTGATACTGCTCTGTAGATCTCTTAATTAAATTTCAAATATATAATGCAGTATTAAGAAAACTTGTTTAGTGGTCACATGGCAATATATTTTATCTCCAGAACGTATTTGTATAATTGAAGCTTGGTACTCCTTGACCAGCATCTCCCCATTCCTCCACTCCCAAACTTTGGCAATCACTGTTCTACTCTCTGCTTCTACAGGTTCAGGGTTTTAGATCTAAGTGAGATCATGTAATATTTGTCTTTCTGTCCTTGGCTTATTTAAGTTAGTGAAGTGTCCTCCAGGTTCATCTATGTGGTCACAAATGGCAGGATTTCTTTTTAAGGCTGAATAATACTTCTTTCATGATTAATTTTATGCCTTGCATTTGTATAGAACTTTCCAGCATTCAGAGTGCTATCGGAATTGCATTGGAGCCTAGGACAGCCCAGAGAGGTGGTAGAAGCTGTTAGTATTATTGCAGTTCACAGATGAGGAAAGATTGGGTGGAGTGAAGAAGTTTACACCAGGTTTCACTGCTAGTTGGCTGCTCTTTTACCCAGAATTCTTTTCCCCTCAGTGATTTTGCTATTTTTGTATTGTGCTCCCTTTCCCCCCAATGGACCCATCTGGCCTTGTTTGTATTCTGCTACCATGGTGGGCAGCAGGCTTCTCCCAGGTTGGAGAGGTAAAGGAAGGGGCAGTAGTGGAGCTAAAGTGCATAGACTAGATTAATCTTGTTAGGGGAATAGGAGAGTAACTGAGATGTAGATGCTCATTTTCCTTCCCACGTGTAACTCCTAGGCAATGAGAAGAGCCATCTCCAGGAACACTGCCATGCTCGTCTGTTCTACCCCACAGTTCCCTCACGGTGTGATAGACCCTGTTCCTGAAGTGGCCAAGGTATGTGAGAAAAAGGAACCACTAGGCAGTGAAACTGAGATTTTAAAATAGAATCTCATGGTACAGTATCTGGCAAATAGAAGCGATTTTGAGTTTAGATTTTAGCACATGGGTGGTGAATAGCTCTGTGGCAAACTCTGCAGCTCTGTTTGGAGCCTCTGAAGGTTACTGGCTTCTGCTGTGGGGGAGGAGAATAGAAGGAAGAAGCCTTGTTTAAATGGGATATTTGGAAGTAGGACTAACATTTCAATTCAAATCAGGAAATGATTTGTATTTAGGAGCATGCCTACCAGAGAGTGGTATTCAGTCTGCTGCTCCATAACACACCCTCCCTCCTTCCCTGCTGGGCAGTTAGCAAAAAGGACCTTTGACCCACTCCAGAGGCAGCCGGAATCAGAGTGCTGCTCATTTTCTGCATGATTTTGCAATGAATTTGAGGCCCTGCATATTTAAATATAAAATAAACACCACATTTCAGATGAATTATTTTGAAGGCTAAATACATTTGAAAGATGAACTTTTTTTTATTGGGAATGTCAAAAAGTAGCAGGCTTCTTAAAACATGGAAGACGTCCTATATAATAAAAGGCTAATATGCAAATCGAGCAAACAGAACAACTGGTCGCTATGGTGTGCACTTACCACCAGGGGGCAAATGCTCAACGCAGGAGCTGCCCTCTGGTGGTCACTCCCACAGGGGTAACGATGCTCAACCAGAAGCCAGGCTCACAGCTGGTGAGTGCTGCAGCAGTGGCAGGAGCCTCTCCTGCCTCCGAGGCAGTGCTAAGGATGTCCAACTGACTGCGTAGGCCCTCTCAAAAGGGAGCAGGCCTGACCCGTCAGTCAGATATCCCCTGAGGGCTCCCAGACTGTGAGAGGGCACAGGTTGAGGGACCCTTGAGTGCACGAATTTTGTGCACTGGGCCACTAGTAGTACATAATGTCCTTATGATTACAGCCTACTTTCCCACCCATGTCTTGCAAACTTTTTGTTACAGGGCTGTAAATGAAATTCTCTTATGGTCTTTGTTTTTTGGAACTAGCTGGCTGTCAAATACAAAATACCTCTTCATGTAGATGCTTGTCTGGGGGGCTTTCTCATCGTCTTTATGGAGAAAGCAGGATACCCACTGGAGCAGCCATTTGATTTCCGGGTGAAAGGTGTGACCAGCATTTCAGCGGATACTCATAAGGTGAGCTACAGAAGGAACCAAATGTTAGTCAGAGGAGACAGTTAGTTGACTATTATCTACAAAATAAATTGGTTAAAGCATTAGCTTTTCCCAAAATGTAAAATGAAATCTGGCTCTTTGCTTTCACCAGGGCAGTTGCAAGGTATAGTGGTAGAAATGACAAGCAATAGTGGAAAGGAACCCATTATCTTTGTGTCTTATAGCTGAATTTCTATAACTGGAACATGTTAGTGTAGTGGCCCTTTTAAAAGTTAGTTCCCACCCTAGCTGGTTTGGCTCAGTGGATAGAATGTCAGCTTACGAACTGGAGGGTCCCAGGTTCAATTCTGATCAGGGCACATGCCTGGGTTACAGGATCGGTCCAATGTACTGGAGGCAGCTAATCAATGATTCCCTCTCAACCATTGATGTTTCTATCTCTTCCTCTCCCTTCCTCTCTGAAATAAAAAAATATATATTTAAAAAAAAAAAAAATAGAGTTCCCTGAGCCTGGAGACAGTCTGCGGGGAGGAGGAGGGAGGTTGCATTGGGCTTCCTGAGGGAGGTGTGTAAGTGCCGCAGCTCCCATGCCGCTGGGTTCCTGCACCTGGGCGGCCGGGCGGTGCTGGTGGAAGAGTCCTTTAGAAAAAGGGAAGAACTTTATGTGCTCAGGAGTGTTTGGCCTGTAATGTTTGAAATGTCTATTCCTGCCCCCACCTCATGGACCGAGACAAAATCCAGATCAGTTTATTATAATACTGGATGAGGAACACCATGAAGTTCTTAGTAGAAAGGACTAATAAGTAAAAAAGGATGAGAAGGGAGTCAGGTTGTGATTGTAGCTGACTTGAGTGACTTGGGTTCCTGGCTTCCGGTGGCACTTTATCTTGGCTTTCATCCTGACATACTGCCCTGGAATTACGTTTTAAATAAGGAAAACACGTGCTGGGCGGGAAAGGGGAAGTAAACTGATTAGCAGGACAAGGCACCGCTCCTCCTGGGCCTTGGATTCCTCATCCCTAAAATAGAGTTTCAACTCCAGCCCTTCAGTTCTCTCTCCCCGTTAACATTGCACCTTTGAATTTTTAACACGAGTGAGAAGCATCATAGAGAATGTGAGGGGAAATTTTCCACGATCAGCGTGCAGGGCAGGTGTGCCAAATAGAACTGTCCAATCACCTGTCTGCTTCTCCCCCTCAGTACGGCTACGCCCCCAAAGGCTCTTCCGTGGTGTTATACAGTGACAAGAAGTACAGGAGCTATCAGTTCTTCGTTGATCCAGACTGGCAAGGTGGCATCTACGCTTCCCCAACCATCGCGGGCTCACGGCCTGGTGGCATTAGTGCAGCCTGCTGGGCTGCCATGATGTACTTTGGTGAGAGCGGCTATGTTGAAGCTACCAAACAGATCATCAAAACTTCTCGCTTCCTCAAGTCAGAGTATGTGGAAGATTGAGATTCTGCCTTGTCTCTTGCTTTGTCTGTTAGTGTGCTCAAGGCATCTGCCTGGCCACACACCTGTAACCCCAGCCCATTCGTTGTCTCCTGAGAGAACAAGGGCTTAGAACAGCAGCTGAGGAGTGTCGTGCTGGCCTGGGAGGATAATGCTCCCTTGCTCTGCTGTGACTTGGAATGTCAGATCAGGGCTTCATGTAAACCATCTTGTTTCCAAGGATGTCTTAACCACGGGCAGTTCTTACCACGTACTGAGGGACAGTTTAATGACTGAGACAAGACAGTGGTTCTGGAATTTGAGGATGCATCCTAATCACCTGGAGGGCTTATTAAAACGCAGATTCCTGGGCCCTGCTCCTAGAATTCTAACTCGTTAGATCTGGGATGGCCTGAGCATTTGCGTTTCTAGGAAGTTCCCAGTGGATGCTGATGCTGCTGGTCTAGGAATCACACTTGGAGAATCACTGGGATAAGAAAAGAACCAGAGAAGGAATGGGGAAGGGGGCGGCGGTGAGATCTTGTGTTAAGCTAAGGCTAGAACTAAGCTGTGTGCCCTGTTGAGCATATCTGTTCCCATAGTGCCTGTCTCTGTGTCACCAGGGTTGGGAGGTTTTTTCAGAATCTTGAGGTGAATAAAAGTGGCCATGTCTCATTTGAAAAAGGCCCACATATTCTGATATCCCTGTCTGTCGAGAACTGTACTAGTTCTTGCTTTAGGGCACATGTGTCAAACACAAGGCCCGCGGGCCAAATCCGTCCCGCCAGGCCTTGCAATGTGGCCCGCACCGCGCTGTCATCACTGCACTCCGCTGCGTTTCCATCACAATGACAGTTTATGACTGTTCAGTAAACAATTCGGCCCGCGATTTAGGCTGGATTTTAGATTTTGGCCCCTTCTCTGATTGAGTTCGACACCCCTACTTTAGGGGCTAGTTACTTTTTAAAACTGAGGGATGGAGGGATGCTTTTTTCAGTATTTTTTAATAGTCTCTCTCTCATTCCTCAGATGTCCCTGGGGGTGATATCATAATTTGAGATTGGGCAGACACGTTAGGAGCCAATGATTCTGATTCATTGGGTCTAGATATGGTTTGGGCCTTTATTTGTAATGCTTAGGAATTACTGATCTCAGTCTAGATACCTAAATTTAAAGCTGAGAAAACTAAAGCCCAGAGGTTAGGTTGTAAGGAGAATGTTGGGCGATTAAAGAGATGATGACCAGAGGACCATATGTGTCTGAATTTTCTTTTTGTTCCTTTTCTTGTTTGCTTTAAGACTGGAAAATATCAAAGGCATCTTTGTTTTTGGGGATCCTCAGATGTCAGTCATTGCTCTGGGCTCCCATGATTTTGACATCTACCGACTGTTTAATCTGATGACTGCGAAGGGGTGGAACTTGAACCATCTGCAGTTCCCGTCCAGGTAAACTTGAAGAATCCCCATTTCCTTTCTTTGCTCTGTGGCTTTTGAAGAACTTGGGTAGCAAGGTGATCTGAAACAGAGATGGGCGGCTATGGCCCTGCACTAGTGGCAATGGTGGTATCTAGGATTTCTGTCCTGATACCTGGAGTAACTCAGTATCAGAACAAGACCATTATCTTTAAACTCGGGCAGTTAGGTGGCAGCCTCTTGAGATCAGGGGTCTGTCCTAAGACTCCCACCCCTCACTCTCCTTCTGTACGCTCAGATCATCTTGTACACCGTCTTCATATTGCTCTTGTAAACCGACTTGTACCTGAGTAATACTTAGCTCACAACCTCCCAGAGAGCTTCTAGTCTCTCAGGCCTGCTCCTGTCTTCTCCAGCACGCTTCTCTAACCCAACCTTCCCTGCTGCCTTTAGTCAAACCCCACCCAGCAGAATAGGGCTCTTCAGTGTCCTCCTCGTCCTCCTGATCCTTTCATGTTCGCACCATTGCCAGCCTCATTTGGACTCTGCTTTTTCCTCTCCACAATCCCTCTGTACCATAGACGCCCTACAGGGGCTTAGAGCTGCTGCTTTACCCTGACATCCTTTAAGACCCAGCCTATGGCCCAGTCCCCAGGAGGGTTTAAAGCTAAAGGCCACATGACTGAAGGACTAGTGGTGGACAGTTTTTGAGGGGAGGGCTGGGACAGCGCAGCCGCTGTAACCATGTGTCAAGAAGGTTCTCGATGAGGCCTAGAAGCCCTCCTGCCAGCCCGTGCTTGACAAGCCGTGGACTTGGGAGCCCTGATTCAAGCCCTGGGGACAGTGTGGATGATTACACTTGTCACAAATAACGTGAAGGAGCAGCCAATAAATCCCTTTATTTTAGAATTTCAAACCTTTTTTTCCATCTCTGTCTCTCTCTTCTTTCATAGTATTCATTTCTGCGTCACGTTAGTACACACCCGGAAGCGAGTAGCCATACAGTTCCTAAAGGACGTCCGAGAATCTGTCACTCAAATCATGAAGAATCCTAAAGCAAAGACCACAGGAATGGTAGGAGCACTTGGGGTTTTACCTTCTCTGTTCAAGTTCAGGGGCGGAGGTTGGAAGAACCAGGTGACCTCAAGTTTGTTCCTGCCTCTGCCTCTTATCCACAAGCCTGTTTCTTTATTTCACTGTAGCCCATGATTTCTGCCTTGTCCATTCCCAGGGTTTTTTAATTTCGAATGAGACATACTGTGTATAAGGAAACCTGTAAATTTCTAAGTGCTGTATGCAAAGGCAGGTGGTGGTAGTGTTCATTTGCAAAGGGAAATTTGACACAGGAGAGGCAATAAACCAATTTTCTCTTGAATTTTTTACATAAAATCCCACAGGATAGTTCCTTTGGGCAGAGAGGCAGACGACTGGCAAGTACCTGGGAAAACTGACCAAGCCAGCTGTCTTTCTAAAGGAATGGAGCCTGGGGGGGGTTGGAGTTGGGAGAGGAGGGTACATGCAAGGCAAGGATGGGGGAGGAGGAGCACAGCCGTTCCTGGGGCCCTCGTCATTAACGGCAGTTCTGTGCCTGGATTTGCAGGGTGCGATCTACGGCATGGCCCAGACCACTGTCGACCGGAACCAGGTGGCGGAACTGTCCTCCATCTTCCTGGACAGCCTCTACAGCACAGACGCCGTACCTCAGGGCAGCCAGATGAACGGCTCTCCGAAGCCCTGCTGAGCCCGGGGGCTTCTGGCCTTCGAAGGTTCTCAGGGTGTGGAACAGGCCACACGGAGTTTCAACATCTGGTCTTGCTCTATAGAGCACAACGAGACGGACCACGAGACAGCTTGATCCTCAGGATTCGAGTTCCTCCTTTCATCATCCTTCTGTGGTTTTTAATGTGAAGACCCCGAAGGACTCCATTACGTAATTATTTTGCCCTTGTTCTAAATAATACACTAGGAATTGTTTTAACCACTTCCTTCTCTGATCTTTCTAGCTTTTACCTTCACTTAATCATGGTGTGGCAGCTCTGACCTGTCCTGATTCCTTAGGAAGCTGGGGTGCAGCCTGAGACAGAAATAGGTTTCCCGTGTCGGCTCAGGCAGATTGGTGTAGTCAAACAGGAAGCATTCATGTAACAGACGTTTTCTCGGTGGGTGTTTGTAACTCTAAGCAGGAGGCTCTTTCAGCCCTGCCCTTTAAGTGGGCTAGTTGTCTCTCTTAGAGTTACTTTTACTGCAGCTTGTTTTATTTCCCCAAGACATGGTGGCGGCGTGTAGGGTGGTACATGGTCCTTTTCTAGTGTGTAGTCCCCTTTGATATTTGGTTTTGACCATCTTTGGAGATTCGTATTTGCAATTGTGCCCCCACTGGTTTGTTCTTGATCTAGGCAGGGACTAATTCCCAGAGAATCTAGGACTTCCTGGCCTGTTGCTGCCTCTCTGAGTATCAGGGTAGGATGAGCACCCAAATTCACATATGTCCCCGAAGTTCATTGTAGTCCTCCCCTCCCCCACTGCGTTAAGCCATCATGTGTGAGAATGTGTTTGCTCATAGCACCTTCACAAGTTGCCTTGATTCACCCTAGTTGGTACAAGGAGGGCATGAACGAGTCCCCAAGGCAGGAACATTTTTTTTTGCTCCATTAGTGTGTTTTTCCAGCCTCCTTCCTCTCTATTCAGCTCCCAAAGGTACTATGGCAGTTCAGCCTCAGGTACTGGATGCTTCTCAGCCCCGGCTAGGATGAGTAACATTTTGGAATAGGGAAATAGGATGGTGTTGGTTATAGCCTAGGGCCTGGGGTTTCGTCTTAAGACTTGTTGCTCAGGATGGTGCAGGGCCAGGGCCAAACTCTGTGCCCACTTTCTACCTTTTCTGCCTGCATGGGGCCTGCCTGGATCTCCCCTGAGCCTCTGTCCTGCCCTAATGACGACACTGTGTGTGCCTTTTCCTCAGTGGGGAGCAGTGGTGGCTGTTTCTGACCCAGCCCTGGGGGCGGGGATCAGTCTTTGAGGTTTTGTTTGGGTTGGGAGAAACTCCTCTGTCAGTTCCCCTTCTCAGGGACTCCTGAAGATTCAGCCACTTCAGGCTGGTATCCTTTCGCCCCTCGCTGGGTATGCTGCCAGGGAGCCAACATGACCATTTCCCCAAGCTCCTCACCACTTTTGTCTGAAATGTTCTGCACTGTACTTTCTACACAAAACTGTGACTGGCCGTGTCGATGCAGTGTGTGTGTGTGTGTGTGTGTGTGTGTGTTTCATCCTGTCCATTGTAGGTTCCAAGAGTGGCTGCTGTGTGTGTGTGTGACAGGGAGAGGCTGAGGTCCTTCAGACATGGAAGTTATGTTCCTTCCAGCTGCTGAACTGGTGGGCATCTCCTGAGAGAGGAGGAGTGGTCGGAGCTATGGGTGAATTGTCTTTTGTGTCTCCAATGCATTCATTATGTTGGAGGAAGTGCAGGGACCCAGCCCCACCCAACAGGCACCACTGTGGTTTGTCTGCTGCTAAAATGGAGAAGCACGCACCCTACAGACTGTTCTCTGCTTCCACTGTCCCCCCAGGACCGTCCCCTGTGCTGTGATAACATTGCTGCAGGGGTTGGCCTGGGGTAGGGTTGTGGGACTGTTTTTCAAAGGGACCTACTGTAGCCACTTTAATTTACGTTTACGAGCCTTAGTTCGAGTTAACATTTGTGGGTTTTCTGTTCTGTGTGTATCTGCTTATAGTAGCACCCCATCTGGCAGAAGTGGGCAGAATGTCTTAACAATATCATGTTATTAGCAGATGTCCACTGGCTTCTGCAGAAACGGTACTGTCTTGTTTCTGTATTAGAAGTCACTAGTCTTGTGACTATACTGCCGTGTCATTTAATTACCAGTTTTATACTTTGAAAATGGTACTTGCTCCTTTAAATCTCATCTTTAACCTCCTCCTTCCTGCAATGTTCTCTTCCTAATTGTAGCAATAATCTCTTAAAAACCAATTAAATAATTAAATGTCCCAAATCTTATTTGTTGTGGATGGTTGCATTCATTTGTTCATTTAGCTATCTGCTCATCATCCCAGATGTGTGAACCGGCTGCTGGTGAGAGATCGCCCCCTTGTGGTGCAATGGTTATCTGTGACTACTGACAGTAGGACAAATAGATGTGAGTGGGTGAGCAGCACTCCTGCCCAATTCCCAGCACTTTCATGGCTCCACCAGGAGTGATGGCCACACCTGTTTTAAGAGGTCTGGAACTCAGGCCTTTAGTTCCCCAGGGCTAGGATCCTGCCTTATGCTGTCTTCTTTGTCATCCACTTCTGCTTATACCTTAACGATAGATTGAACCATCTGGGCTAGTGTCCAGCCAGCTGGGCAGTGAGCTCCATCTAACCAATGGACACCGACGTCAAGTCTTGCATTTGGTTTGGGAACTGAAGGAACCCCTCAGATTATCTTTGCACCTGCAACTGCTGAGTGTCTTGTTCCATTATGACTAAGAAGTGAGAAGTCTTTCTGAAGGGTTATTCAGGTTCCAAAGATGCTCCTTCAGGTAACTAAGCTTTTCATCTGGCTTTCAGTCCATTCACTTTGCCAGAATCCAATCAAACAATGTGGCCTTTGCTGTAGTTCTATGCCAGATGACTCAGTTCCTGAGCACCTGCTTGCTTTGGGGTAACCCTAGAGAAAGAGGGGCCAGCATGTGCTTTGATAGATGTGGCCCATCTAAGAAATGGTGTTGGGGTGCTTACACCTGCTCCAAACAGCTGTGGGCCTCTTTGCCTTCGGTGTGGGTTCTTGGTAGCAATGAGCCACTTATAGCTCAACCCAGTAGTGACAAAAGTAATGGCAGAGACCTAATTTGATAGCCTGGGTATCAAAAGTCAGATGTTCGGGGGCCTTTTTTTGATTTGGAGTTTCAATTGCTTTAGTTTTTCTTGTGCTTTTTCTTTATTGTCACTTCTCTTTAATCCCATTCCCTATATTTTAAATTGTTTGAATAATTTTAGAATAAACATTTATTTCTAAAAAAAAGTGTTGTGTCTTTGTCCCACATAAAAGTGCTTCATACAACTGTAGTATCCTCTGGTTTGGTGTTTTCAACCCTTGACTCTCGCCTTAAGCAGAGGCAAGAAGATGGTATAACACAGTGTGATGTGGCTTCTGTCCCCTAACCCTCAGTCATCAGGTCCAAGTGCACTTAGAAAAATTTTTGTCAGAAGTGGAGCAGATGGAGGACTACTGTCCGTACATTGTTGGTTTTGATACTAGGCTTTGCTGAGAAGTATCAAACATAGGCAATGATCATCCTTACTAACATACAGGCTCGAAGGAGGGCCTGCTTGTCCCTCTTACCAACAATATGCTTTTTTCTCGACGACCATCATCGGCCTCTTCTGGCTGTGTTGCAGGACCAACTCATCCAGGGTGACGAAACTGTGACATTGCTGGGTGCCTGCTCCAGGTGACCCTGGTATCTGAAAATCAGCTTAGTACCCAGGCAGCCTCAGGCCAGGTGTCATAATGGCAAACATGAAATGACAGCCGTGAGGCATGCACACCCAGTGGACGACACTGCTCAGCACTCCCTTCTGTCCTGCAGTCAGTGAGATTGTTTTGCCCTAGAGTTGCTTACTGGGTTGGAGGAGCAATCCAAGAATCAGCTTCTTAACTCCCAGGTGGCAAATAGCTTGTCATGTTCTAAGCCGTGGCTTTTGTTGTCGCCCTTACAGAGTAAAAAGCAGGCAAGCCTTGAGACTGTGGCCGAGTTTCTAGGAAAGTGTGAAAGCCCTCAGGATTAGAAATCTCCTCCCGAGGTTGTAGGCCAAGACGACAATGTGGCCCAGGCTGCCTTTTTAGGCATAGGTCTCGGCATGCCTGTTCATAGGCGTCCTGCTCACCTTCCCCTTCGTTCACGATGCCACCTCTGCCTCAGGAATCCGATTCAGGTCTTAGAGGCACAACTCAAATGAAGCTCTGATTCACCTTGTCAATCACGTCCTGCTCTCTCAGCTCATTCCTGTCCTTGCACCCAGTGTGGGCTTCATTCATCCTGCTTAGCAGGAGCCTGTGTTCCTGTTTGATTCCCCTGGAGGGTAAGGAGCTCCCTGAAGGCAGGGTGGTGCTCAGGAAGTGCTTTAAATGCCTGTCGACTCCAATTTGGATTAACCTGTGGAAGAGAAGATTCTGGAGCCTGCGGCTGAGTGAGACAAGTTTTATTTGAGACACAAAAGCATGTGTTTTTATCACATAGGAGCGGGATGGCACTAAGGTTCTGGTTTCTAAGATTCCGTATATCTCAGACACAGCTTCTAGGAATACGAATTAGAAAGGGAGCAAGATACGGCCTTGAAAGAGTCATTACTGTTGCTGAGAAGCTGTAAGGAATGGGAGATCTAATTCAAATCCGGGCACCGTTAATAGGGCCCCACGATGAAGAGCTCGGTGTGGGGGGAAACCGTCCCTAAGTTCCCGGTGTTGGCGGTGACGCTGGCCTCTCTTCCCACAGCAGGGACTCACCCCTCAATGGAGGCAGCAAAGTGGACATAGCAGTTTTAACTACAGCAGCATTGGGGGGCGGGGGGGGGGGGAAGGCCTCCCCTGTTCTCTCTCTGGATTTCCAGTTCAGTCACCCCTTTCCCTGAAGAATTCAGCGAGGCAAGGCAGGGTCTAGGTCATGGACACCGCTACTTGTTCGATGAAGCTGGCCAGGTTTATGTCCCGCTCCGACAGGCCTGCACACTCATGGGTGCTCAGGGTGATGTGGACCTGAAACAGAGCCAGAGATTGGGACCAGCTGATTCCACACACGTCACCGAAGAGCAGGCGCGCCACTCGCTGTTGGCTCAGCCACCGAGCTCCGGACACAGGCACACCGTTTCACTGGCTTTCCTGCTGCTGCGTTTCTTACCCAGTCACCCAGATCCCTCCATCAAAGAGGCCACGACTCGCTAAAGGCTCAGGTGATAGCACTCATAGCCATGAAGCCTTTTAAATTAAGGTATGAACATTGGCTTTAGACATACTGCCATTGCACACTTAACAGAGGACAATAGAGCGTAAACACAACTCTTGTATGCACTGAAACAAAGAAATCTGTGAGACTCGCTTTGTGGTGGTGGTCTGGACCGGAACCCACAACATCTCTGAGGTCTGCCTGTTCCCCTGGGGGCTGCTGTCCGGGCAGGACTGGTTTCTGTAACAACGGTGCAAGACTGTCTTCTAATCCACCTCCAAAAAAAAACACGGCAACTTTAGCTATAGATTAAAATGAATCCTCCAAACATTGAGAGCTCCCTAAAAACGAAAGAGGAGCCCTGCCCAGTGGGGCTCAATTGGTTGGAGCAGCATCCCATGCCCAGAAGGTCATGGGTTTGATTCCTGGTCAGGGCACATACCTAGTTTGGGTTCCATCCCCTGTTGAGCGCATACAGGAAGGCAACTGATCTATGTTTATTCCCACATAGATGTTTCTCCCTTTCTCCCATCTCTTTCTCTAAAATCAATGATCACGTCCTCAGGTGAGGATTAAAGACAAAACAAAACAAAATACCAGAAGGACTCCAATTCCTAGTAAACGCTCTCCATGTCTTTTAGCCTTAATGTTTTCAGAACCCAGCATAGCTCTTGGCACATGGCAGGCATTTAATGACTGTTTCAATTCATTCCGTGGAATATCTGATCTGCTTGCTGGGCATGGCTATTCTTAGTTCAGTTTTATTACTTCGTTCTTCCATTCCTCCAGAAAGATTAGGCCATGCAGAGCTACTAACAATGGATATGTCTGGCTCCCACAGCCTTTCCTTCCTTGGGTTTTATCTTCTTTGATGTCTACTTGAACCACAAGTTATCTCCCAGTGTTTTAACATGCATCTTTAAAATGTGTAGTGAGGATATTTTCCAGGGGTGTTGATGTCGAGTCTGGGAAGATGGATGGAGCAGGAGCAGTGGATAGTCTGGGCGAGGAGGGCCGGTAGGGAAGTCCATGGGAGGTGGAATTCTCAGAACGTGACCTCGCCAAGCACAACAGGCACATACCACTCACCTTGTTGTACACGTTGAACCATTCAGGATGGTGGTCCAGTTTCTCAGCCTGCAGGGCCACCCTTGTCATGAAGCCAAAAGCCTGTTGGCGGAGAGACCCGGTTAGTGTTTTGCGAGAGAGGCTGCTGGGCACCCTGCCGTGCAGCGGAAGGCCTCGATGCAGGGGGGCTGACAGGCTTCCTAGGAGGAGAACCCCTCAAGTTTTCATCATTCCCCAGCATCTTGCCACTGGTTCTGAGGCTGGAGCTCGAGGGGGTCTCCCTGCGGTAGGAAGAAAGGCCACCGACAAGGTGGAAACATCAGAGAGGTGGTGAGTCTCGGCCAATCTTTTGTGTAGAATACCTTCATATGTCAGTTCAAGGCATGGAGAGTCCAAAAGCCAGGTCTGTCCTCTCCCACCCCCGGGGGTGATGCTGTGAGTAATCTGCATTAGTGTAGTGTCTGAGAGTCTAGGGCTTTAAGGAAGAGAACAAGTGTGACCCTATCAGCCCCAGACTCGGGAAGCTCTGGCCCCCCCTGTGCCATACCCGGTTGAAGTCTTTGAAATGGAACTGCTTGAAGATGGCATCTCGACCTTCCAGCTCGTTCCACCCCACGGCCCTCAGGTTTGGCAGCAGCTGGTCCCTCTCCTCAGCACTTAGCCTGTGCGCTTTGCCAGCCTAGGAGAGGAAAAAACCGGAGGCCCAGAGGCATGTCTTTGTAGAGGGCAAAGGAGAGGCCCAGACCTTTGGGGAATGGAGCCAGCTTCCACCGGCAGCTCTGGACCCAGGTGACGCAGTCAAAGGGCAGCTGGTCTAAAGCAGCAGACACGGAGTGAGGAGGGTGGCACCCTGCCCTGGAGGTGGGGCCCTAGTGCCAGCACTGATAGGTCCTTAGATTTTACATTCCACTCAAAGGGACAGAAAACCCTGCCCTGGCCAGCCAAAGGGTTGTGGGTTCAATTCCCGGTCAAGGGCACATCCTTGGTTACAGGTTTGATCCCAGGTCCTGGTTGAGGTGAGTGCAGGCAACCAGTCAATATGTCTCTCTCACATCAATGTTTCTCTCTTTCTCCGCTCCCTTCCACTCTCTCTAAAAATCAATGGAATAATATCCTCAAATGGGGATTACCAAAAAAATAAAGACAGAAAACCTAAAATATGTTGTCAATCACACTGAACTAAGAAACGCTCCCCATCCCCCAAAACAGTACATCTCTTACAGTAATGAGGGAGGAAAAGCAAAACCTAGCCCAGACGTGTGTGCATTACAACATAACCTTACAGAAAATGATTCCCAGCTATCCAGCCTTCCTTTTCCAATCACGGACCTGACCCCCTGCCCCTGTGGGTTCCACTGTCAGGCGCACTACAGAGGAGATGAGGCCAGTCGGTGAGAGTGTGGCCATCGTTCTCAAAGTGGGTCTGTCCCTGGGGCCGGCGAAGGGCCCAGCCCTGAAGACGTTCCAGGTGGCTCTGAGCCACAGCGCAGTAGACAAGCACTGACACGACCGCCCAGGTGCTCCTAGGCCACCTCTGGTTCCCAGCCGCCAGGCCGCGGGTTCTCAGACTTCCCCCGACCTTCTTTTCTGTCAGGCTGGGGAGCCTGAGCCACAGAGCTTGGTTAAAAGTCGAAGTAACTGCCAAAACCAGTTTGGCTCAGTGGATAGAGCGTCAGCCCGCAGACTAAAAGGTCCCGGATTCGATTCCAGTCAAGGGCATGTACCTTGGTTGCAGGCACATCCCCAGTGGGGGGTGTGCAAGAGGCAGCTGATCGATGATTCTCTCTCATTGATGTTTCTAACTCTCTATCCCTCTCTCTTCCTCTCTGTAAAAAATCAATAAAAGTATATATTTAAAAAACAAAAGTTGAAGTAACTTGGCCAAAGCCAATTGGCAAACCTAGAGCCCCATCTGCATATTGTGCAAAGTGCCCTCTGGGCAGCCCAGACTGGCACAATTCAGACCGTGAGCGGAACCTTCTGAGAAAGATTCTGAAGGAAGCAAGTCAGTTCTATCCTGTGGGAGGATCCAGGTCTAGGAGCTTAGGGGGTCCCAGAATTAGGCTCCTGAAATAGAGTCCCCAAGGACAGCTCTAAGAAACCATACAGCGCTAAGTTAAAAATGTATCAAGGTCTGGGAGATCCTGGAGCAGGGGTCCTCAAACTTTTTAAAGTGGGGGCCAGATCACGGTCCCTCAGAGAGCTGGAGGGCCGGACTATATGAACTACTAATTCCTACTGTAACACCTCGGCTGCGCTCACTGCCCAAAAAACCTGGCGGGCCGGATCAGACTCCTCTGCGGGCCGCATGTGGCCCGAGGGCCGTAGTTTGAAGACGCCTGTCCTGGAGGGAGGGTAAAGCAGCGTTAGGAGGCGGCCCGCAGACCTGGGCCGGCCATGGGTGGAGTGTGTGGGGCTGGTTCCAGCCCCAGTTCTTTTCTCGGGCCAGGTGGCCCGTGGCGCACATCTCCCTGGGCTTCCCAGGTAAAGGGGACAAGCTCGTCCACTTCGTGTCAGCCAGAGTCAATGGGACACCAGTAAACACCACTGTTATTGAAGGAATGCCATCTGCCTTTTTTAAAGGAAACTTCCTGGGAAATGCAGGCTTATGATGGGCCTTGGGTTTGGGTAGAATCGAAAAAGCGCTCTGACAAAGTCAGTCTTTTCTCCCTTCTGAAATCACGTGCTCTCTCTGGCTGTTCTGACCTGGTCTGTCTCCCCTCTGGGCCGGAGAGATCTGCATCTCAGATCTCTGTTCCAGAGCTGGCCTTTCTCCACGGCTGCTAAGCCTGTTCCACGTCTCCAGGCAACCGGATGGCCAGATGTCACCCGGGGCATCAGAGCGCACTGTTGAGTTCTTTGGCTCTGAAAGGAGTGGTGGGTACCAGCGAATCCCCCGGGGGCTCCCTGTGTCTTTAGAGTAATTCTGGAACCCCCAGGACTCACAGCCCAGGCTGACCTGATAAGGCCCTCCAAACTGGGATCAGAGGGGGAAGGGGCCGTGTTTACTTGGTAAATCCCAATCAGGCCTGGCCAGGCCTCTGGGGGAGTGTGCCCAGGGGTTACTCATTACCCATGCCCTGCTCTGTGGGCCCCAGTGTGTCTCACAGCCTCGCTCTCCAGCTCCCCTCCCTCCCATCTACAGCCTTCAAAGCGCCCTCTCAGGTGTCACTGGGGTCTGGACTGCTCCTAAGGCTTTTGGGCCAGAAATGGGCTGTTTATAAAGCTTCCCTGGGTCTAGAGGCTCCTCTCCCGGCTGCCCCAGCACTCCCTTCACCTCTCCAGCTGAGGTGGGAGTGGGGGAGGCGGTGAAGCACACGGGAGACCCTCCTGGGGGCCAGCTCAGCCTGGAGCACAGATGGACCTGAGTCATGGTGTTTCCCCTGCTGGGCAGACCTCAAACTAGGCACCCGGGGCTGGCTTCGCCAGAAGGGCAGTAAACAGGGGCAGAGGAACCCAGGAATCCAATCTCCCTCTCCACACTCACATATAGACCCATCCCCATCCCCACTCCACCACCACCAACGGGAACCTGAACGGCCCGCTCCAGGTGCTGTCCCTCCCCACCCAGGCCCTAGTCCCACGCCCCACCTTTGCCCAGGGAGGTCACTACGCCCGCCCTGGTGCGGAGGGGGCACAGGCCCGGGAGCCCCGAGGCCAGCCTGCCTGTTACCTGGACCCACCACCGCCCTCTCATGGCCTCAGCTTCCCGAGGGGCACCTCCAGGGGTGGGAACGCGACAGAAATACCCCCTCCCGCCCCCCATTGTCCGAACCAGGCGCGCTAACCTGAACCCTCCCCCGCCTTCCCCACCCGCCCTCTCCCGCCGGGCCAGCGCAGGGGGTGTGTGTGTGTGGGGGGGGGGGGTGGACCCTAAGGCCCCCTTCCTCTTTCGGACCCTAACGCACGCCCGTTCCTAACCAGGCCGCCCCAATCACAGCGGCGCGCGGCTCCCCCTCACCATGTCGGGCGCAGCGCGGGCCGGCGGGCAGCAGCAGGTAGCGGCGGCGGGGAGCGTGGCGCGGGGCGCACGGCGGCCTCGGGCGGGCGGGGCCGGGCTGGGGCCGCCCCGGGGCGGGGAGAGCGGGCGGGGAGGGGCCGCCGCCGTAATCATTAACCCCGTCCGGCCGCAGCTGGCCTCTGCTCCCTTCCAGCACTTTCCTGGGTGCTCTTGGTACGCGGAGCTCAGGGGTTACGCAAGGGCCCCCATGGGCAGCCTTACGCGTTCGAATCCCGCTCTGCCACTTAACCAGCTGCGCCATTTGCGGGCGGGCGGGAGGTTACCTTTTAAAAAAATACTCCTTATTTAGGTTTTGATCTACAATAAAGTGCACATATTTAAAGTGTAATTTTTTTTTAAAAAATATATATATTATTGATTTTTTACAGAGAGGAAGAGAGAGGGATAGTTAGAAGTATCGATGAGAGAGAATCATTGACCAGCTGCCTCTTGCACACCCCCTACTGGGGGTGTGCCTGCAACCAAAGTACATGCCCTTGACTGTACTTTGGGACCTTTCAGTCCGCAAGCCGATGCTCTATCCACTGAGCCAAACCAGTTTCGGCTAACGTGTAAAATTTGATGCGTTTTGACATATGTACGCTTCCATGCAACCATCATCACGATCAAGATCATGAGCATATCTATCATCCCTGAAAGTGTCCTTCCTCTTCCTCCTTCAGACAGCCATTGATCTGCCTCCCCTCCATGTGGATTATACTCCATTTTCTAGGATTCTGTGTCCATGGAAATCACACAGCATTACTCCTTTTGTGTCTGGTTCCTTTCACTCAGAACAATGCCTGTTTGAGGTTCACCCATGCGGTGGTGTCAATAGTTCCTTTCACCGATGGCTAAGCCAAGTTTACTGTATTGTGTTACAGTGTCTTGGAAATGTGACCATTTGGTTATTCGCCCGTTGGTGGGCATTTGGGTTGTTTCCAGTTTTTGAGCTGCTGTGAACTTCAGATTCCAAGTCTTCGCACAGACGGTGCTTTCATTTTTCTTGGGTCATGCCTGGGCGTGATGGCTAGGTCACATGGTAGACATGTGTTTGTAACTTCTCAGGACACTGCCAAAGTGGTGGCCCCATCGCACACCCCCACCAGGGGTGAGAGTTCCCCACCCCTGGCCGCTAGGATGCACCAGTGCGTGGCATGTCAGCCGTTTTAATTCTAGCCGTTCTCACTGGCGTAGTGGTAGCTCATTGCAGTTTCCTTAATGACTGATAATACTCAACGTCTTGTGCTTATTTGCCTATTTAAATGTTCTGACCATTTAAAAAATTTACTGTTTGTTTTCTTACAGGGTTTTGAGAGTTCTTTATTTTGGATACAAGCACTTTATCAGATACATGATTTGCAAATGTGTTCTCTGCATTCTCACAGTGTCTTTCAAAGAACAAATGTTCTTCATTTTGAAGAAATTCAATATATCAAATGTTTCTTTTATACACTGATATTTTGGTGTTGTGACTAAGAAATCTTTACCTGACCCTAGGCCACAAATGATTTTCTTTTAAATTTTCTTCCTATGTTTTCTCTTATGTTTTAGAGTTGTTTCTTCTTTTTTGTTGTTGTTGTTTTACATTTAGGCCTGTGATCCATTTTTAGTTAACTTTTCATATGCTTTGAGTTATGGATCCAAGTTAACTTTATGCATATGGATATTCAATTGTTCCCTTCTCCACTGAATTGCCTTTGTACACTTGTTTTTAAAAAATCAACAGGCTGTGTATGTGTGAGTTTGCTTGGGGAGTTTCTATTCTGTCCCATTGATCTGTATATCCATCTTGATGCTAATCCGACACTGTTTTGATGACTGTAGCGTTGTAAAGCTGGAAGTCAGGTAATACACGTCCTTTAATAGGAAAAACATTTTTTAAATTAACCTTTATCCCTATACTCCACTTTTTAAAAAAATATATATTTTATTGATTTTTACAGAGAGGATGGGAGAGAGATAAAGAGCTAGAAACATCAGCCCCATACTCCACTTTTACCTATATCCCCACAATAGTGATCTTTCGAATGTGGTAATACATATCTTTGTTTGTACATGTTCTTCCCCAAAATAAGCATGTTGTTGTTTCACCTCTATATATTTTTTTAATTTTTATTTTATGTCATGTCTTATTCTAGAATAGGTTAGTGGACAGAATAGAATAGTGAATAATTCAAAGCTGAATAGTTAATGAATAATTAATATTCAATTCTGTTGCTATATGTATAGTTAATCTGTAGTTTTTAACTGCTACTTAGGATTCTGTGGTGAGAATCCACCATGATTTGTCATTCTACCAGTGATAGGCCATCAGAGTGCTTCCAGCTCCCTGCCACTATGCCACCACCACCCCAAGTATGTGTGTGCATACACACACACACACACACACAAACTCACACACACACACACACTCACACACACACACACACACACACACAAACTCACACATACACACACACTCACACACACACTCACACACACACACTCACACACACAAACTCACACACACTCACACACTCACACACACACTCACACACACACACACTCACACACACACACACACACACTCACACACACACACTCACACACACACACTCACACACTCACACACACAAACTCACACACACTCACACACTCACACACACTCACACACACACACTCACACACACACTCACACACACACACTCACACATACACACACACTCACACACACACTCACACACACACACTCACACACACTAACTCACACACACTCACACACTCACACACACACTCACACACACACACACACACACACTCACACACACACACACACACTCACACACACTCACACACACTCACACACACACACTCACACACACACACTCACACACACACACATTCACACACACTCACACACTCACTCACACACACACGCACGCACACACACACACACACACACTCACACACACACACACATTCACACACACTCACACACACACACACGCACACACACACACACACACTCACACATACACAAAGCCAAACAACAAAGGGATCCTGCAGGAAACATCTCTCTGAACTCGACAGCTCTCGGGCCTGTGGGGAGCTTCTTAGACAATGTCTGTACGTGCATAGCCTGTAAACCCAGTAATTCACCGCCCCCCCCGGGTAGTGCCCATAGGTAGGTAGTCCCAGGTGCCATCCAGCTGGCTGCGCCCGTCCTCAGCCCTCTGACCGTGTGAGGGCTCCTTTCCCCTGCGTTCCTCACACACACATACTCAGCTTGGCACTAACTAGCTTTTTAATCTTCGCCAAGTTCGTAAGTATAAAATGATAGCTTGCTGTTTTACTTCGCATTTTTCTGATTACTAACGATTCTGAGCACCTCTTCAGATTTCTTCTTAACATTTGGGACTTAACGTTTATAAATTGCTTTTTAATACCCTTTGCAAAAGTTGTAGAATTTATAGTGCTCCTTTTAAAGTTGATTTGTAGGAGTTTATAGCTAGACTTTAACTGCCTGTCAGTTTTAGATATTACAACTATCTCCTTCCATTCAGCCATCCACATACTAATTTCTTCTATTCAGGCCCCTGTGGGCAGAAATCTTATATTTTGGTGTGATAAGATTTCTCCTTTTCCCTCTATAACTTAGTGCTTTTAAAGACTTATTTGATAAGGCCCCTCCCACCCCTTTCTTCTAACTTTGTCGTTAGATAAATTTCGGGCCGGTGTGAAAGGCCCTGTTAGGACACAGTGTTTGGCTCCAGTGAAACTGGACGCCAACTCACGGTTTCCGCTAAGCGTCTGCCTGGGAAGGGCCTGGGGCTGCCCAGACCACACTGCCCAGCAGAGACTGGCATGCATGGAACTATGAGAAACGGCGGTTCATTTTTATCAACACCACTGCTTTGTTATGCAGCACAGATGACAGGGCATAGATTCCTGAACACAAATCAGCACCCGGGAGTGGCGTGTTAAGAGCAACCTAAAACGCAGTGTCCACTGGGGCCGGCATGGGATATGAGGCAGGAGGCCATGCTAAAGGAGGCAGAAAGCTGCGGAGTGTCGCTCCCTCACCAACAAGGAGAAAAGCCTGCCTATGCTACTGAATCATCGCTTTTCTCCAGCTTGCCAAGGCACGGAGGTCACTTGGCAACCGGGTAGCCTGAATTGGGAGGGAGGCGGCCCCTCCAGGAGAGAGAGGAGGCAGACTGGCTCACCTGTGCCAGCACTCTGGGAGGGAGAGGGGTACCCCCGGCTTCCCCAGGAGCGAGCGGGTAAGAAGTCAGCTACAAGTTAGCAAATCCTTGGGAGCAGGTGTGTGCCGCCTGCGTGGAGCAGCTGGGAGAGTGTGCACACACTTATAGCTTTTATTTACGGGCCTCTGCCGAGTGCTGGGGAGAGAGGGAAGGGTGAGAAGTGGGAGTGAGACGCCCTCAGCCCAGTAGGGGCAAGAGGGGATGGGTCAGCCGCTGCAGCTGTGGAAACAGTGCCAGACCCCGCCCTCCTCTCCAGACCCCTGTCCACAAGGAGCAGAAGCCTTGAGCCACTAGGAGAGGGCCAGCAAACCCTGACACTGCCAGGGCTAGCTAAAGGCTCATTGTGGCTTCATTTAGGTAGGAGGGAAAAAAATCCCTCTGCCTGGGGGAGGTGCAGAGAGCAATTCCATGGGGATCCCATACCAATACCATTAGAGGTTGCTTCTGCAGGGAGGAGCAGGAAGCTCCGATCACAGGCAGATGGCACTGACAGATCACAGGCACTCATGCTGGCCAGGAAGCAGGTGGGGATGGGCACAGGGTGGGTGGGGACGCTGCAGAAGCTCCGGCACTGGGGACCGCAGACAGCCACCCCTGCACCTCTCCGCTGCAGCAATGGCAGCCTGGCTACCAGAGGAGAAGGGGAGCGCATGGAAGGACCGGAAAAGTGCCGCCTGGCAACACCCGTGCTGACGAGGATGTGGGGCCCCGAGAACTCCCCTAATCACCAGTGGAAAACAAAATGATTCAGCTCCTTCGGAAAACAATTGGGCAATGTCTA